CATCCCAACCCTTGTGATTTGTTCTGGCCATTAATATGTGAGCAACACTGTCCCTTCCAGGTAGGAATGGGACCAGCCTAAAGCAAATGATTCCTCATATCTGCATGTCCTTGTGGGGGGGAGGGAGTATCAAGTCTCTCAGAAAATGTGTTATGTAACTGAGAAAGACATCTTACTGTAGGCGGAGGACTACATTTAGAAGGCTCCACTTAGTAGTGCTTTACCATCACCATCTTGAAATTCTTGATAATTTTTGAACAGGATCTGACATTTCCTATTGCACTGGATCCTGCAAATTATTTAGCTGGCTTCTGTGAGCCACAGATTTTTCTGAGACCTTACTGCACAGTAATATACCATCTCCTAGATGGTCATCAAAAAAAAGGAAGGGAGGTTGAGAATGGAATGTGCTGCCAGACCAGGCCAGGCCAGGCCAGGCAAGCATAGACAGGGCTGCTGCTGGAGTCTGGACACGCCACTTAAGAACTGTGTTAAGTAGGAGAGACAGAGGGAGACTAGAAAAAGGAAAAAAAACCCAACTCCTTCTGTTTGTTTATTTGAAAACGAAAACATTTGGAAAAGTTTCAATGTCAAAAGGAGGCAAGGAAGCAGGTGGGTTTTTTTTAGTTTTTTTTTTAAGTTTTTGCCAGTCCTGGTGCCAGAATTCTGGGCCTGGTCTCTGTCCCTGGGTTTCTTTTTTGCTCAAGACTAACACTCTACCACTTGAGCCACAGCACTACTTCCAGCCTTTTCTGAGTATTGGAGATAAGAGTCTCACGGACTTTCCTGCTTGGGCTGTCTTGGAACCTCAGATCTCAATATCCTGAGAAACTAGGATTATAGGCATGAACCATCAGCACCTTACTTTTTTTTTGGGGGGGGGGTGTCCTAAAGCTTAAACTCAGAGAGCCTTGGCACTGTCCCTAAACCTTTTTTTTTTGTTGTTGTTGTCGTTTGGATCAAGATTAACACTCTGCCACTTGAGCCACAGCTCCACTTCCAGCTTTTTTGGTGCTTAACTAGAGGTAAAAGTTTCATGGGCTGGGGCTGGGAAGTTGGCTCAGTGGTAGAGCGCTTGCCTTGCATGCCTGAGGCCCTGGGTTCGATTCCTCAGTACCACATAAGCAAAAAGAAAAAAAAAAGCCGGAAGTGGTGCTGTGGCTCAAGAGGTAGAGTGCTAGCCTTGAGCTGAAGAGCTGAGGGACAGTGCCCAGGCCCAGAGTTCAGGCCCCACGACCGGACCCAAAAACAAACAAACAAAAAAAAGTTTCATGGGCTTTCTCGCCTGGGCTAGCTTTGAAATGTGGCTGTGATCCTCAGATCTCAGACTTCTTTTTTTTTGGGTCCGGTCATGGGGCCTGAACTCTGGGCCTGGGCACTGTCCCTCAGCTCTTCAGCTCAAGGCTAGTGCTCCCACTTGAGCCACAGCGCCACTTCCGGCTTTTTTCTTTTTGCTTATATGGTGCTGAGGAATCGAACCCAGGGCCTCATGCATGCAATGCAAGCGCTCTACCACTGAGCCACCTTCCCAGCCCAGATCTCAGACTTCTTAGTAAGGATTACAGGTGTAAGCCACCAGTGCCTGGCAAAAGGATTCAGTTCTGAGAGAGGCACAAAGTAATGTTAGGGAGGATGGCAAAAGCCACAGGCATTGACTGGAGGATGAGCACCTTCTGCTATTCCAGGAAGGGATAAAGATGCAGGAAAGGCTGTGGAGGACACTCCTGCCTGAGGTTTTCTGCTCTGATCGATGAGAGGTTATTTGCTTAGGAATGAGGAGACAGTGACAGGGGATTCAGAAATGGATTGAGTGGAGCCCTTGGAGGTGAGGTGAGCCCGGGAGCTGTGATCAAGTACCTGTCCTAGTGGAGGCTTCTGCTTTGCATCTGAGACAAGGCTCCCCTGAACTGTTGGCTGGATCCTCCAGGAATGGGGATCGTCAGATTGGTGGAAAGGAAGTAAGGGGATAAAGACTAGCTAGAAGGCTGGGAAGGTGGCTCAGTGATAGAGCGCTTGCCTTGCATGCCTGAGGCCCTGGGTTCGATTCCTCAGCACCACACAAGCAAAAAGAAAAAAAGCTGGAAGTGGCGCTGTGGCTCAAGTGGTAGAGTGCTAGCCTTGAGCTGAATTGCTGAGGGACAGGGCCCAGGCCCAGAGTTCAGGTCCCATGACCAGACCCAAAAAAAAAAAAAAAAAAGACTAGCTAGAGCCATGTCACCACCACCATTAACAATGACCACGTGACAATCATCCTGTCCTAGTGCTGCCCCTGGACAGTTACTGTGCAACACTTTTTAGGCATTTTGCAGCATCAACATCTTTAATTTTCAACACACAATGAGGCAGGGTCACTCCCATTTCACAAGGATGAGGCAGAGGTGCTGGTGGGCAGAGTTCCAACAGACCCTAAATAATTCACTGTAGATGGGTGGCCCAGAACTCTAATGCTTTGAAGGCTGCCCTGAATACACATCTGTTCAGTATATACTGATTGCAGAGCTATGAAAGGAGCTGAGTTGTTCCAGAAACACTCTTAAGAGCCTTGCTCGATCATTTGTAACCACCCTGACTGCCTCTGAGTAATCCTGTGGGCTTTCCCCAGTTTCCTGGTATACTCCAGATAACTCCGTTGGAGTGGTATGTAGAGCTTTAAGCCAGACCCTGGTCCTGTCAGCACCAGGAATGTGCCTGACATCCTCGACATATCCTTGAGATAAGCCAGCCAGTCCATTTCAGGTTGGAGGAAAACCACTTCTGTCCTGACCACTGTGGATGCCTCCTCTTTTCACTCAAGTTGTGGTTTTGAAGATCCACTGGTCTTGCTGCTGCCCTTGACCACGCTCTAAGTCTCCAATAAAATTGGCATTCTGCAATCTTGGACTGCTGGCCTTTCTCCTGTCTCTTGGCATCTTCTGCCTGGAGTAGCCAGTACTTTTTTCTTTCCCCTTTTTTTCTTTGCCATCCTGAGGCTTGAACTCAGGGCCTGGGCACTGTCCCTGAGCTTCTTTTGCTGAAGGCCTACCACTCTACCACTTGAGCCATAGTGCTACTTCCAGCTTCTTCTGTTTATGTGATACTGAGGAATCAAACCCAGGGCTTCATGAATAATAGGCAAGCACTATACCCCTAAGCAACATTCCCAGCCCCTAGGCTACCCAGTTCTGTTTTTGTTTGTTGGTCATAGGGCTTGAACTCTGGGCCTGGGAGCTGCTGTCCCTGAGCTCTTCAGCTCAAGGCTAATACTCTACCTCTTGAGCCACAGTGCTTCTTCTGGTTTTCTGGTGGTTTATTGGAGAGAAGTCTCGTGGACTTTCCTGCCCGGGTTGGCTTTGAACTGCAATCCTCAGATCTCAACCTCCTGAGTTGTTATGTTTACAGGTGTGAGCTACTGGTGCCTGGCTACCCAGTCCTTTCAAACCAGATTTTCCTGGACCATCCCCCTCTGCCCACTCAACTCCCAATAGATACTTTGGCCTGACAGTTCCTTTGAACAGGCCTTCCAGTGGTATATGCATGTGCAACAAATACAAGAAATTTTGTGCAACTCTCCCACATGTCCAGAGTTGTAAGTTCTTCACCTAAAGCAAGATTAAGAAACTAGCAATATAATGGAGTTCTACAGATAACTGGGGCTTTCCCATGGATCCCTGTAGTCTTTCCAGCAAGGGGGTATTGTAATCAGAATTCTCAAAGGGACAATACGTTTGCAGTTTGGGAGCATGTGATAAACATACATCCCCCAGGAGATACTGGCTGCACCCCAGGTAGAGGAAAGGGCTGTTTTAGGCCCTGGGAGCCCTGAAGAATGGCACAAGTATGTCCTCACCACCCTATCCACATGTGTTTTTTTTCTTTGGAACTGATCAGCACCTCCTGGGTAAATTCCAGTGCATTGGGAGCCTGAAGAACTGAATTCAGGCTGTATAGCCTAGGGCCAAGGGCAAGTGGGCAAATCCTTTTCTTGCTATGGACCAGCTGATGGGTAAGGACTAGTAATCTTGACTATTCTTCCTTAAATCAGTGCTTTGGTAGCTTGGAGTGTGTGCTAGCTGTGAATGGGCTTGGGGCACTTAAGGTGTAAAGGACCTTGGTACAGGTTGGGGAGGGGCTGGACACACGTGCAGGGCTCCCTTGATGTGGAGAACAAAGGCTGTTGTCTGTCCTCTCAGGATGGAGTCCTGGGATTTAAGCACAAGGAGATGATTGTGTGCCAGGATAGGGTAGGGCCAAGACAGACTGCTGAGAGCCACCACAGCAATGGCAAGTTCCTTTTCTTTGGCCTAGCAATGCCACTGATCTCATTGCTCCATTAGCCCTTCTAGGTTTTTCTTGGTGCTGGCCACTTAAGCTCTTTCTAGGTGCCATGCTGGGCTTACCTGGATGTTCTGGGGGTATCCATTTCCTTTCCTTTCTGGGAAAAAGCCTGAATAGCTTTCCTGCCCTTTGACTCAGACAGTGGTCAGAGCTCCTGCCTGACACAGCAGCTAAAGCTCTCGAGACTGCCCATCCCTTCCCTTTCTGGATATAGGGAGGAACAGAGATTCTTCCCAAGAAGGGATGGTTACTTTGTGGCCCATACTTCCTTTTAGGACAGCTACTAAAACAGGTCACTGTGTCCAGGTTCCTTCCCTCCCTGGACAACTCTGAAGGGCCTAGAATAAGGAGGGAAGAGTTAAGAGTAGGAGCTTGCTGACTCTGTGTGGTGAAGGCAGGGATGACGTGGGGGAGGAAGGAGGAGGGCAACACCTGCCTGCTCACTTCACTAAACCAATGCACAATTCCTATATTCTTTGCAGATGAAGGAACTAAGATTCAGGTTTGTGAAATGCTTTGTTCCATGTCCCAGAGGTATTGGGTGGCGCAGCCTAGATTTCATGGCCAAAGCTGTGCATCTACTCTCCCACACTTCTTCCTGGAATAACCACTGTGCCTTCTAGGATTGGCTTAGGATGATTGAGCAGGCTTTTGGTTAATTTTTGAGACAAGGTTTCATGACATAGCCCAGGCTGGCCTTGAACTTGTGATCCTCTTGATTTTATCACTCTTTTTGTTGTTGCTGTTGTTGTTGGTCCTGGGGCCTAAACTCTGGACCTGGGCACTGTCCCTCAGTTCTTTAGCTCAAGGCTAGTGCTCTACCATTTGAGCTACAGTGCCACTTCCAGCTTTTTCTGTTTATGTGGTGCTGAGGAATTGAATCCAGGGCCTCATGCATACAAGGCAAGTGCTCTACCACCAAGCCAGCCCTTGCTTTCATCTCTTGAGAGCTGGAATTACAGATGTGCCAACACCATACTGTGCTACTCTGATTCATTTACTGCCATTCCTGCTAACATGAACTCTTAGCAATTCTGTTGAAGCCATCATGTAGATAAGAAATAGCCCAAGAAATAGACCATAAAACATGAATGTCTTGCAGAAATTTTATTTGAACAAGATCATATCTAGAATTCTCATTTCAGTGTATAGACAACTCATAGTTCAGTGTAGTGCTTCTACTACAAGCCATACAAACTCACAGAATACAGTGCACTCAATACAAAAATAAATTACAGTTTCAAAGCTACTGTAGAGATTTACACATAGAAAAAGTAAACACAAAAGTTAGTGAGTCCTCCTGTCTATTATGTCCAGATTTGAAGAGAAAAAGAGCAAAAGGCTCTGTAATATATAAAAACACCTCTTGGAGAAGAAGAAATATTTAGAAGTGATTAAACAGTGTCTTAAAAACAAGAAAACAGAGGCTTGCTCTTATCTTAGACTGGAAAAGAACTGTAGCTCCACCAACATGCTAACACAACAGAACAGCTTAAATCAAATTTCCATCATCCAAACCAAAGTACTCATTCAGAGTTGTCCACCTTCTGGCCACTCAAGAACCAGTGTTTTTGAGAAGGAAAACAAAGTATAATTAATCTAGAAATGTACAGATTATAGAAACATCTAAGTTTTCAAGCAACTATACAGCTAAGATTACCAAAAATTGGTGGGGTCTCACAAAGACTGTTAGAGCTAAGACTACCCTCACTGCACCTTGCCTATCTGTGGTCAATGTGGATTAAGTCACAACACCCAGAAGTATTGGGTACCTTGAGAGACAGAGCACTGAAAACCCAGCTCAATACCCACCCATCTCCCGGGCAGCCATCTACTACCCCACAGAGCTAGAAAGCAGGGTTCAGGAACAGTTCTGCAAATAAGCTTTACTGAAGAGTAGGCTGAGTGCTGCTATCACTGCCACTTTTGCGCTGTACTAGCAGAGCTGAGCTGGGAAGTCCTTACTACTCTGGCCCTTTTCCAGAGCAAGTGTATGCCTCCTGCTAAATGATAAAACAAGATACTTTTTGTTTTTTAAGACCCTTATTTAGAAAACTATGCAGGGTTTTTCTTTATGTGAGTGACTGGCAAACAACCTTCTAGCCAGGGTTCTAGAAGGACACTACTTTCTTTCCAGGACTTAGCTAAGAAACAGAGGGGCATATATTTTAGTGAGAACAGAAAAGCAGAAGAGAACAAGCCCAGGCAGCCAAGGAACAGCTTAGGGGTCCTATCCTCAAAGGTCCACAGGACATCCGTGATCATGTAAAAACAACACAGAGTATTTGTCTTAAAGCTAGGCAAACACACAATGTAACCATTGCTCTATTCAGAAGTGTTCCTGCAGAGTGGAAATAAGAGAGACAAGAGCCTTTCTTGTGAGGAAGGGAGATGCTGCTGAGAAAGTCAAAATTAGGTCTCCCTGCAGTTGACAAGTGCTGGGACAGAGACTAGGACATATAACTTCACAGGTTACTTTAAACCACCACATTGACTCCCTCTTCCCCCACCAAGGCATGTGACTACCCTCCTCTTGGTGCTACCCCTGGACAAAAAGCAGAACAACTACTATGGCTCTAGTCCCAGCAAGTCCAGGGCAGTGTGTGATACAAACAAGCCATTAAAAGGCTTGCTGCCAGTTCTCCAACCCCAGTCCAACATCACCAGCTGCTAATTTTTACCCAGTGTCACCTCTAGTCTCTTTGCCAGCATCCTCATCTGATTCACACGTGCCCTTTCCCTTCCCACTACATGCAGAGACCCTTCAGCTGTGCCTCTTTCCACTCTTACTATCCTTAGAGGAGATGCCACGTGGTTGCAGCAGTTCTGGGGATGACATCCTCAGCAGGTGGGACAGGAAGCTTAGTGTGGTGTGTCAAGGTTTCCAGTGTCTGACAGGTATCTAATGTGTCAAGGATAACTCATTATTCAAGTATTCATTTCCATGTTTACCACTTCATGCCACGACCTAAGATTCCTTTTAGCTTGAGCTTCAAATAGATTTTAACAAAGTTCCTACTGAATATTCTGGATGGCAAGAACTCAAGTACCTGAATACACAAATATTACAGACTATGTTCAGCTACTTAACTTGTAACTTTTGCAAAGTTTAAAATAAGGAGAGTGTTACCTCAACAGGATGGGACATTCAAGCCTTGTAAGCTACCTTGGGCTTAGCTGTTTTGTGCTTAGCAGCACCATCAACCTTATAGGCATCCAGGGCTCTCACACTGACAATGGAATGCCCAGCCCAAAATGTCCTGGATTAAGGCCCAGGTTCTAGGTGTCACCTACAGCTGATAGAAAATATGTTTTACAACTGGGACCTGGCATGAGCATTGCTGCTTAGGATAATGGCCAAGAATGGACAACTTTCTTTCAGCAATCATGTTTTATGCAAAAATGGTTTTCAGTCTCTCCAGATCCTTGGGAAAACAGTGCAAGATTAAAATTCCTGAGCTCTCCAGTGAGATGCTGGTGTGTTTGCCTACATATGTAATTATGCTACAGGGAGCTCAGGATAGTTCAAACCATGGCAGTTCAAAGGTCATCAAACTGGATATTCTTTCAGCTGAAAAGTATAAATGAATACTCAAATTATATAGCCATCACTGGATAGATATCTAAAAAACAAATTCCAGGAGGTATAGTGCAACTTCAGCCCTTGATAACAAAGGATTATGGATGACCAATGTTGTTTACATATTTCCCTCATTCCCCTGGGTAATTGGGGTGCTTATCTTTTAGTCTACAATTTAAAGCTAAATTATAGTGTTATTTCTGGGTGCAGGGATTACAGATGGATAAATATTTGTGTTGTTTTCTGTGATGAACATGTACTATTGCATATCCAGAGCTTGTTTTGTACAGAGATGAAGGAATTCTTAACAAATGCAAAATCCTTAAAGCAGCTTGACTATTCAAAATACTGTGTAGAGTTCCATGATAAGTATTCAAGAAACAAAATTCTTTCGTCTCTACTTCATTCTCTATTTCTACCTGGTGGGTTTTTTTTCTTTTTTTCAAACCCAGTTTGAAAGCTCCAAAATTAATCAGCTCTAATTGAAAAGGAAGGCTACATCTTGGAGTTGAAAAGAAAGGAAGGTTACAGAGTGGAGTACTGCTATGCTGTGCTGAGCCTTCCTGGGTGTACAGGGCTGCAATCCCCCTGGTACAGGAAGATAGAGATGCCTCAGGTCAATGTCCAGACACTTGCCTTCTTCTGGGCAAAGTTATAGTAAGGTATGCGGTGCATACAAGCGTTTCTTGTGATAGAGCTGGGAAAAATATGAAAACAACTGAATGCTTTATGGTTCTTTTCAGTGACTATTTTACCTTGGCATAAATTTGTAGTAGTTAAGATAGCCAGTCCATAGGCAGTCAAAGCATGGGAGATATTTAAAATTCTCTACTAACTTCTATTGAATATTGTATTAACTGCAAAAGAGCTGCCCCAAAGCAGGGTGCCAATGGTTCATGCCTGTAACCTATCTACTCAGGATGCCAAGAACTGAGGATCGATGTTCAAAGCCAGCACTTTTATCTCCAATTAACTACCAAAAAAGCCAGAAGTAGTAAAGCACTAGCCTTGAGCAAAAGAAACTCAGGGACAGCACCTAAGACTCCGAGTTCAAGCCCCAGGACCAGCATGTGTGCGCATGCTTGTATGTGTGTGCGCACGCGCACACACACACACACACACACACACACACACACACACACACACACACACACACACACACACACACACACAGCTGCCCCAAATCTACCAACATACTATCTACCACACCTTCCTGATTTTTCCCAGATAATGTATGGGAAAGTGCCATTTCTTAGGCATTCAGATCAGGAACACATAGTAATCAAAGGGATGTAGCTAACCCGAGTTGCCTTGCTGTGAAGTCACTATGAACACATAACCGCTAGGTGGAGCCAAGAGGTTGGAGGAAACAGCAGGGAACTGCCTTGATTCAGGAATTTGAAGACTCTAATAATTGAGAAAGTAAAGGACCAGATACCCTCCGTTGAGCAGATTGTAGTGTGATTAAACTTCCAGTCGGACGGAAATTTTAGTTTCTTTTTTTAAATGGAGCTAAAGTCAAATCCAGGTAGAGCACTTTTACCTAAAAGTACAGGACAAGCTCCAGAGTCCAACACATTCCAGCTCAAAAATATTCCAGGACGGTTGCTGGAGAGTGCTGAGCATTCCAGTTACAAGTGTTGGGGGAAAGGCAGCCCCTTAGAGCTCAGTGGTCAGTAAACACTTCTGCTTCAAAACAGGGTCTCTTGCCAAACTTGGAGCAGAGCTGAAAGGAAGAGAGAATGGCTTATCAATGAAAAAGTTCATAGGGGTGGGAGCATTCTCTCTCTCCACTTGCTCACATGGAGATGCTGAGAAAAGAACAGATTACAGATCTAAATGGCTATATAAAACACCTAGCTTAGCAATAGCTCTCCCACAGATGGGAATTTTCTAGATAATTAATAGTATCCCAGTTAATCTATTATATGGAGCTCTACACGAGTTTCTACTGTGATAAAGTAGTTAGACTTAAATGCAAGGATGAATAGACACTGAATGTGGTTTCCAGACAACCTAAAGTATCTAGAGTACCTGATAGAAAAATGTACTTTAAAACCTCAAGAAGCATTAACAAGATTTATAAATGACACAGCAGCCCTCCTGCTTCCATTTTCCCTTCCTACTAATATTTTCAACTGTGTACAGTACTCTAGGGCATGCTACTACCTGAACCATGCACCTAGTCTTCAACTGTTGTTTTTAATATTCTCTTTCTTTCTTTTTGCCAGTCGTGGGGTCTGAACTCTGGGCCCGGGCGCTGTCCCTCAGCTCTTCAGCTCAAGGCTAGCGCTCTACCACTTGAGCCACAGCACCACTTCCCACTTTTTCTGCTTAAGTGGTGCTGAGGAATTGAACCCAGGGCCTCATGCATGTAAGGCAAGTACCACTGAGCTACCTTCCCAGCCCCAGTTTAATATTATTTTTCTTAATCTTTCTGTATCCCTTGTTCTCAGAGTGGTCCTTGACATTTGTTAGAAATGCAAATTTGGGGTCCCACCTCAAACATACTGAGACATACTCAAGATGGAACCCTGCAGCCCACTTTTTCTTTTTTTTGGTTGTTACTTTTTTGTTGTTGTTGGTCATGGGGCTTGAACTCTGGGCTTGGGCACTGTCCCTTAGCTCTTTAGCTCAAGGTGAGCGCTCTACCACATGGCACCACTTCCGGTTTTCTAGTAGTTTATTGGAGATAAGAATCTCATGGACTTTCCTGCCCGGGCTGGCTTTGAACCATGATCCTCAGATCTCAGTCTCTGGAGTAGGTAGGATTACAGGTGTGAGCCACCGGCGCCCTGCTGTCTCTGAACTTTTGTGCTCAAGGCTAACTATCTACTACTTAAGCAACATCTCCACTTCTGGCTTTGTGGTGTTTAATTGGAGATAAAGAGTCTCATGGACTTTCCTGCTTGGGCTGGCTTTAAACCACAATCCTCAGATGTCAGCCTCCTGAGTAGCTAGGATTACAGGCATAAGCCACCTTTTATTTAACAGGCCATCCTCCAGAGATTATGCCTCAAGTTCCAACTGTTCCAAGTGATTGTTTATACAATGACCTCCTTCTAAGGACTATGAGTGCTTAACCTCTTATGCCTTCCTCCCCAGCCCCACATTCCTACCTTATCTTTTCAACGCTAACTTATCTTTCCAAATCTAACCAATTTTGTTCATGTTAAGATTCATTGCTTGTTGAAATTATGTAAATATTTTCACAACTGGGTGTCAGTGTATTATATTTCTCTTGCATGATGATTAATTTCCCTGGATTGCGCTGCCTCTAAAAAAAAATTGTGATTGCATCCTCACTGTTACATATCTGTAATTTATCCCTTGCCTCTTGGATAAGGGATTTCGTCTGTCATGATCTCTTCATGTATACATTACACATGCCATGTAATAACAAAATGTAGGGGTAAGCATGTGTATGTTTTCTTGGCAAAACTGTCCCTGGAACTTGATTCTTCTTTTTGAAATAGGACAGGAGCCTTTATAGACCTGGTTAGCAGATGCTGTTTCTGAACTTTCTTTCTTCCTTCTGGTAAATCCCTATACCTCTCTTACTACTTCCTGAGTCCCACATTCTTCTTTTATGTTTATCATGTTTTCACGGAATACATCTTCCAGTAGCTTTTGAGTAAGGCTGCACAGAAAGTATATATTTTAGAGAAACTGTATGCTTAAAAATATCACTATCGGGGCTGGGAGGGTGGCTCAGTGGTAGAGCACTTGCCTTGCATGCATGAGGCCCTGGGTTCAATTCCTCAGCACCACATAAGCAGAAAAAAAAAAGCTGGAAGTGGCGCTGTGGCTCAAGTGGTAGAGCGCTAGCCTTGAGCTGAAGAGCTGAGGGACAGCGCCCAGGCCCAGAGTCCAGGCCCACAACCCCCCCCCCAAAAAAAAAAATCACTATCCAAGCCGAGTGCCAGTGGCTCATGCCTGTAATCCTAGTTACTCAGGAGGCCAAGATCCAAGGATCGTGGTAACACTGTGGCTCAAGTGGTAGAGCGCTTGCTTTGAGCTGAAGAGCTAAGGGACAGCTCCCAGGCCCAGAGTTCAAGCCCTATGACCAATCAAAAACAAAAAATCACTATCCTAATCTTAAACATCACAGGTAGATTTTCTGGATATAAAACTAGATGAGCCGGGCGCTGGTGGCCCACACCTATAATCCTAGCTACTCAGAAGGCTGAGATCTGAGGATCGCAGTTCAAAGCCAGTCCAGGCTTTGAGTCCAGACTCTTATCTCCAATAAGAACCACTAGAAAGAAAAAAAAAAACACTAGAAAAACCAAAGCGGCTCTGTGGCTCAAGTGGTAGAGCACTCACCTTGAGCTGAAGAGTGCAGTGACAGCACCCAAGCCAAGCCCAGAGTTCAAGACCCATGACCGACCAAAAAATAAAATAAAACTAAATGAAACAAAAATTCTCCGGAATTATGAGACACTGCTCCATTATCTTCTAGCTTTCAGCTGCCATTCTGAATACCAATCCTTTGTATATAGTTTTATTCTTTCCTCTCTGGAGCCTTAGATCCTTGCTTAACTTTGATCTGAAGTTCATGATGTTTCTTGGTCTATTTTCTATTTTGCTAATACCATGGTTTGAACTCAGGTCATTGTGCTTACTCAGCTTGCTTGCTTGTCTGGTTAATGCTCTAGCATGGCCTTTTCTTGCAGACGTTTCTGCTTGAGCTTGTTTTAAAGCTTGAACTTCTGGATCTCAGCCCGAGTAGCTAGGATTACAGGTAGCCATATGCTAAGCTGGTATAGTTTCTCTGTGCTAGGCACTAAGTAGGGGCCCATTTCATTTGGCACCTCAAGTCCTGTTCTGGGAATGTCTTTCTCTCTTTCTCCCTTCCTTCCTTTCCTCTCTCTCCTTCTTTCCTTCCTTTCTTTTCTCTCTTCCCCCTTCTTTCTTTTTTGGTTGCCAGTCTTGGGGCTTGAACTCAGGGACCCACTCCCTAATTCAGCTTTTTTGCTTTTATCTAGCACTCCAACACTTGAATCACACCTTCAGTCCAGCTTTTTTGCTGATCGGTCGGACAGAATTTTGCAGACTCCTGTGACGAACCTCAGATTTCAGCGTCTTGAAAAGGGCTAGAAGCACGGCTCTCGTAACTTTTTTTTTGCCAGACTTGGGGCTTGAACTCAGGGCCTGATTGCTGTCCCTGAGATTATTTTGTTCAAGGCTAGCACTCTACTACATGAGCCACAGTGCTACTTCTGGCTTTTTTTGTGTATGTGGTACGGAAGAATCAAACCCAGGGCTTCATGCATGCTAGCTAGGCAAGCACTCTACCATTAAGTTACAGTTCCCATCCTCTAGTAAGTTAACTTCTGTCCCTACAATTTCTTCACTGATAACTGACTCCTTTCTGATCTTTCTCAAAGATTAATATATTCAACTTCCTAAACCAATCTTTCACTCCTCTTAAGTTTTAATCTTTTTTTTTGGGGGGGGGGGGGGAGGATGGAGTTGGGGGAAGGGAAACCATTAACATTATATTTTACACATTCTTTAGATTTAATAGTTTTTGTTTTCTTCCTTTTATAAAAATCTTGTCATTGCAGCATGAATGCATTAGAAAGTTTTTTTTCACATTGTCTTTTATTCTTTTATTGGTCATAGGGCTTAAACTCAGGGCCTGGACACTGTCTCTGAACTTTTTTCCTCAGGGCTAGAGCTCTACTACTTTGAGCTTCAATGCCACTTTCAGTAGACTCTCATGGACCTTCCTGTCCAGGCTGGATTCAAACTGTGATCCTCAGAACTAAGCCTGAGTAGCTAGGATTATAGGCATGAGCCTCCAGTGCCTAGATCTTGATCTCTCTCTCTCTCTCTCTCTTTCTCTCTCTCTTTCCCTCTCCCCCCTTCCTTCCTTCTCTCTCTTTTTTTTTTTTCCTTTTGGCCAGTTCTGAGGCTTGAACTCTGAGCCTGGGTGTTGTCCCTGAGTTCCTTTTGTTCAAGGCTAGTACTGTACAGCTTGAGCCACAATGCTACTTTTCTGCCCAGGGTGACATCAAACTGCAATCCTGAAATCTCAGCCTTCCAAGTAGCTAGTATTACAAGTGTGAGTCACCAGTGCCCAGCTTGTGCTTTGTCTTGAACTTCATCTTTCTTACACTTTCTGGGAAGATTTAAAGATGACCCCAGTGACCTCCACTACCTAGTGTTTACACTTTTAAGAAATATCCTCCCCTTGAGCATGAGAATAACTTATGGATTGCTTTAAGATAATACAACAAAGGTGAAAGAATGTCACTTCTGTTATTAAACTACTTCTATCCTTCTACTTGACCACACTAATATCTGTCTTCATGCTTGATACTTATATGAGAAAACTGCATTGAAGAGCATGGCAAGGACTATGGTAATCTCTTGCCAATAATCAGCTAGGAACTGAATGTATTAGCTTTTTAGAACTTGAATCCTGCCAACAGCCATGACTAGAAGAGACCCTTCTGATTAAGCCTTCAAATAAAATAGAGCTCTATAGGTCATGACAAACTCCAAGGACCCAGCTTAGCTATGGGTAGATACTCAACACACAGAAATAACAGTATTAATCTAGTTTTTTTCTGTGTGTGTGTGTTTGTGTGTGTGTGTGTGTGTGTGTGTGTGTGTGCGCGCGTGCGCACGCGCGTGTGCGCTGGTTCTGGGGTTTGAACCCTGTCTTTAAGCTATTTTGCTCAAGGATAGTAATCTACCATGTAAGCTACAGCTCCACTTCCAGCTTTTTAGTGGTTAATTAGATATGAGTCACTTTCCTGTCTGGGCTGACTGAACTTCAATCATCAAATCTCAGCTTTAACACCTGGCTAATCTTTTTTTTTTTCTTTTTCTTTTTTAAGCTGCTGAGTTTATAGTAATTTTTTGCAGAGAAATAGATATGCTATGTAACTCTCCTACACTGCAGTTGTAGTTCATTGCTTTTGCTGCTTTTTGTTTCTATTAGTCTAGTAGACTCCTAATGGGCAACTGGAAAGATTTCAATTTGGACAAGTATATTATAAACATTCTTGCAGATGTCTGTAAATGGACATAGACTTATAAATTTATATTTTTACTAGTTACATACCTAAGCTGAGAATCACTAACACTGGGTATGTTCAGCTTTGGTAGCTTCTGCCAAACCTCTTTCATTCTTTTTATTTTTTGCTAGTCTTGGGTCTTGAATTCTGGGTCTGGGTACTGTCCCTGAGCTGCTTTTGCTCAAGGCTAGCACTCTACCACTTGAACCACACAGCATCACTTCTGGCTTTTTCTGTGTATGTGGTACTGAGGAATCGAACCCAGGGCTTCATGCAGACTAGGCAAGCACTCTACCACTGTCACATTACCAGCCCCTGCCAAACCTATTTCAACATGGTTATTCCAAATTACAGTGCTTTCACCCTGTATCTCCATCAGTGCTTAGTACTACATGACATGTTCATTATAGTCCCTGAGTCCAGGGTGGTGGTATCTTGTGGTGATTTGAATTTGCCTACTCCAAAGACTAGTCAAGTTGTACAATATATGTTAATTGGACATTTGGATAGCTGTTGTGAAATGCCTATTCAAGTCTTTGAGCTATTAGTGCCCTGGAAGAGCTTTGTGATAACCAGGGATAGAAGGAGGGTGGGGGAAGAAAGTACACAGAAGGAGTGCAATACACACACAAATCTTTTCCCACTTTGTGGTTCCCTGTACTGTCTTTGAATTCTTCTTTTGGTAAATGATATAATACAAGTTACTGATGTTTTTCCTACATGATTAAAACTATTTGTGAACTGTTAAAAAAACCAACTTTGCCTATCTTGATACCAAGCAAATTATTTTTAAACAAATCCAAAATGAACATTTTTAAATTTTTGGTGGGGTGTATAGTATAAGGTTGAGTCAAAATTAACTTTTTCCCCCAAGGGCGCTAACTTGCTCATCTGACTTACTGGAATATTGTTTTCTTATAGCATTGCACCATCAGGTAACCCACATGTATATATGGGTTTCTGAACTATTCTGTTCCATAGGCTTACTTGTTATTTTGATCTTATTAAGTCCTTTATTACTACTTTGGGTTTTAGGAGGGAATAGTGACAAGCTCTTTTTTAATCTATAATTTTAAATTTGGAAGTCCTTAAGAGCTTACATTTTTTTTTTTTTGTCTTTTTGTCAGTAGTGGGACTTGAAGTCTGGGCCTGGGCACTCTCCCTCAGCTCAAGGCTAGTGCTCCACCACTAGAGCCACAGTGCCACTTCTGGCCTTTTCTGTTTATGTGATACTGAGGAATCAAACCCAGAGCTTCATGCATGCGATGCAAGCACTACCACTAAACCACCTTCCCAGTTCACAATCTCCATTTTCATATGGGCAATTAGTAGGAATACTAGTGATTTTTTGCACTACTGGTCTAGATGCAGGCTTTGCAATGGCTATCTTTGTCTGCCTTGTTCACTGCTGTTTTCAGTGCCAGACACAATACACCAGGAACATCACAGGCATTCAATAAATGTCAACTGAGTGAATAACGATATTACTGGAAAAAAATTATGGAGAAAAGGGAATATTTTAAAAGTGAATTATAAATTTCAGTTTCTTTAATCATCTTTAATTTTCTTTCTGTCTAGTCAGGAAAGAATTCCCTTCAACTAACTCACATCCTTTTTTTTTTCCCTTTGCCAGTTTTGGAGCTTGAAGTTGTTCTGAGAACCATCCCCGAGCCTCTAACACTCTACCACTTGAGCCACAGTGCCACTTCTGGCCTTTTCTTTTTATGTGGTGCTGAGAGGAATCAAACCCAGGGTTTCATTATGCTAGGGAAGCACTCTACCACTAAGCCACATTCCCACCCCCCTGACCCACATTCTTAAGAGCGGGAAAATAAGAGAAATAGTAGCTAATTAGGAAAAAGATGAGAGTGAAGGTAATTATAAATCTTTTGCAAAACAGGTACAGCTTTGATCCTAGCAATCAAATACTGAAGAGTTCTTCCCAGTCCAGTTTCTGTTTTTAGAAAGCAGCATGTTGAAATGAACTCATAGCAGTTTTCAGTATATGCTATATCATGGCCCTCACCCTAGGAATCTCCTAACTCACCTCCCTAATGTACCTCTTCACCTGTTTTGATGGATATTGACATTAATGGCTATAAAGGGGGAAAGGAGAAGCCACAATTATTTAAAAATATATAAACAGGGGCTGGGAAGGTGGCTCAGTGGTAGAGCGCTTGCCTTGCATGCCTGAGGCCCTGGGTTTGATTCCTCAGCACCACATAAGCAAAAAGAAAAAAAAACCAGAAGTGGCGCTGTGGCTCAAGTGGTAGAGCACTAGCTTTGACCTGAAGAGCTGAGGGACGGCGCCCAGGCCCAGAGTTCAGGCCCCACGACCGGACCCCCCCCCCCAAAAAAAAAAAATATATATATATATAAACATTCAACATAAACTTGCTAATATTTTTATTTAGCAAAGGCTTCCTAAAGAAACTATAATAAATTGTAAAAATTATAGCGAGAAAAGATTTAACCCATTTAAATTCAATTAGGAACTTATAAGAACTGACACTGTTATTGTAAATGCAGTCAATTTTATTTATTATTTTCCTTCCAACAGATACCTGGAAATGGCAACTGAGAAGTAAGTTCTTACCTGGTTACAGCGTCTACCAAGAATGGTGCTGGGGTAGAGATCATGGAGATTCTGTCTTTATTACCATGTCCCTCTGTCCCTTCCAAAGATGATCCACATCCTGTAAGCCCATTCGAAAAGGCACTGCTCTGCTATGAAAGATATACAACACATCTGATCACAGAGGTATTAATACATACTCAGTCTTTCCAAACCAGCTCCATAATGAGGATGTGAGGGTGATCTGGCTGCAACATCTGTCACCCCATTGTTCACCAGGGTTGATATGGTGATCGGCCCTACCTCCCTCCACATGCATCCCTCCTGAAGCTGCAAGTATGGTTAAAGAGGACAACCTTTCTTGATAGAGCAAGGGTGGTCTTCAGTCAAGGTATACACATAGCTATGCTTCCCTTCTAGAACTTCCCAACAGCTTCATTAATGACTATAGAAATGAATGTGATGTTCATGCTGATTTTATTTTATTGTTTGTGTTGGGTCATAGAGGTTAAACTCAGACCTGGATGCTGTCTTGTTCAAGGTTAGTGCTACACCACATGAGTCACAGCTCCATTTCTGGCTTTTTGGTGGTTAACTGGAGTTAAGAGTGTCATGATTCCCTATTTGGGCTGGCTTCGAACCAAGATCCTCAGATCTCAGCCTTCTGAGTAGCTAGCATGAGCCACTAGCACCTGGCAAGGTTTTATTTTATTTTAATTAAGTCGTGGGGCTTAAACTCAGCCTGGGTGCTGTCCCTCAGTTCTTCAGCTCAAGGTGAGTGCTCTACCACTTAAGCCACAACACCACTTCTGGTTTTCTGGCAGTTCATTGGAGATAAGAGTCTCACAGACTTTCCTGCCCAGGCTGGCTTTGAACTGTGATCCTCAGATCTTGGCCTCTTGAGTAGCTAGGATTACAGGCATAAACCACCGGCCCCCAGCTTGCTTGCTTGCTAGCTTTCTTGCTTATTTCTTTGTTTATTTATTTATTGCCGATCCTGGGGCCTGAACTCTGGGCCTGGGCACTGTCCCTCAGTTCTTCAGCTCATGGCTAGCACTCTACCACTTGAGGCACAGCGCCACTTCCAGCTTTTTCTGCTTATATGATGCTGAGGAATTGAACCCAGGGCCTTATGCATGCAAGGCAAGCACTCTATCACTGAACCACCTTCCCAGCCCCTTTAATTCATTTTTATAAACCTATCTTTCACTTCAGATTTTTTATTTTGGCTGTATACATTAGCATTTACAAACAGAATGATTAAGCTGCAAATCTGAAGAGTCATTAAATTCAATTAACTGAGCTTTGATAATGCCTACCATGTTTATAAAAAAAACAACTACAAAAAAAAAACCAACCACCATGAACCTGGTAACCCCACAGGCCTCACTTTATTTTACTTTATTTTTTTGGGGGGGGGTCCGGTTGTGGGGCCTGAACTCTGGGCCTGGGCACTGTCCCTCAGCTCTTCAGCTCAAGGCTAGGGCTCCCACTTGAGCCACAGTGCCACTTCCGGCTTTTTTCTTGTTGCTTATGTGGTGCTGAGGAATCGAACCCAGGGCCTCATGCATGCAAGGCAAGCACTCTACCACTGAGCCAACTTCCCAACCCCAGGCCTCACTTTAAAAGTGCAACTAGAAGTAAAGTGTCAACTATTATAAACTTACTGGAATAATCCAACGGGGTGTGATCATGGATGCTGAGGACACCTAAAATAAATTTCAGATGATATTTACTTTTGGAGGTGAACTTGCTTATTTTCATAATCACACTTATGATATTTTCTTCCCCCGCGCCCCCGGCTTCCCCAGTCTTGGGGCTTGAACTTAGGGCCTGGGCACTTTCCTTGAGTTTCTTTTGCTCAAGACTAGCACTCTACCACTTGAACCATAGCGCCAATTCTGGCCTTTCCTTTGTATGTGGTACTGAGGAATGGAATCCACGACTTCAGTCATGCTAGGCAAGAACACTACCACTAGGCGACATTCCCAGCCCCAATACTATACTTTATTTTACTATGAAATGCATACAAGGACTACAATTCTTAATGAGCCTCCTTGAACTGACATAGACTTCTGAGTCAAAGATTCTTTACAACATGGACATAACACCATGCAACTTAAACTATCATAATTTTATCATATCTAAGAGTGTGCAACTCAATAAACTACTACTTTTTTTTCTTCAGTTGTGGGGCTTGAACTCAGGGCCTGGGCACTATCCTAAGTTGTAATTTTTTTTTTTGTCAGTTGTGGGGCTTGAACTCTGGGCCTAAATATTGTCCCTGAGCTCTTTACATCAAGATAAACACTACCACTTGAGTCACAGCACCACTTCCAGTTTTCTGGTGGGTAATTGAAGTTAAGAGTCTCATGGACTTTCCTGTGCAGGCTGGCTTTGAACTGTGATCCTCAGATCTTGGCCTCTTAAGTGGCTAGGATTATAGGTGTGAGCTACCAGCCGGCCCCTGGCCCCTGGCTTCTAAGTAGCTTTTTAAAATAGCTTCACTGGTTTAATTGATGAAAAGTTTTGTTGACCTTTTCTTTTCTTGGTACCAATACCTGGGCTTGAATTCAGTGCTTCCCTTAGCTTTTTTGTTCAAGGTTATTGTTCTACCACTTGAGCCACACTTCCACTTCTGGCTTTTTGGTGGTTAATTGGAGGTCAGAGTCTCTTGAAGTCTTTCCTGCCCAGGCTAGTTTTGAACTATCATCCTTACAACTCAGCCTCCAGAGAAGCTAGGATGACAAGTGTGAGCTATTGGTGCCCAGTCATACTAACTTATTAAAAGCTAGTTAAAAATATAATGGAAAAAAATCCTATTAATAACAGCATAAAAAAAGTCTGAAGGAGGGCTGGAAAGGTGGTTCAGTGGTAGAGTGCTTGCCTTGCATGCATGAGGCCCTGGGTTTGATTCCTCAGCACCACATAAGCAAAAAAGAAAAAAGCCTAAGTGGTGCTGTGGCTCAAGTGGTAGAACGTTAGCCTTGAGCTGAAGAGCTGAGGGACAGCGCCCAGGCCCAGAGTTCAGGCCCCACGACCGGCCCCCCCCCCAAAAAAAAAGTCTGAAGGAATTAGAAATAAAGCTAGGAAAGTAGAGAATTTACATTAAGGATAGAACTATAACCACATAACTTAACAGGAGATACAGCCTTGAATGAGAAAAGCATTGTATTTCTTTTTTTTTTTTTTTTTTGGGGTCCGGTCGTGGGGCCTGAACTCTGGGCCTAGGCGCTGTCCCTCAGTTCTTCAGCTCAAGGCTAATGCTCTACCACTTGAGCCACAGTGCCACTTCCGGCTTTTTTTTCTTTTTGCTTCTGTGGTGCTGAGGAATCGAACCCAGGGCCTCAGGCATGCAAGGCAAGTGCTACCACTGAGCCACCTTCCCAGCCCCAAAGCATTGTATTTCTAAGACAATTATCATATATATAGTAATTATTTCCAAAATTAATTTATGTCATCGATGCAATTATTTAAAAACACTCAAAAGGATGTGGTGAGATAGGTTTGAAAAATTACTCAAAAGATCATCTAAAAGAATTAGCAACCCAGAGCCGGTGGCTCACACCTGTAATCCTAGCTATTTAGGAGTCTAAGATCTGAGAATCGCAGTTCAAAGGCAGCCCGGGCAGGAAAGTCTGCTAGGGACTTATCTCCAATTAACCACTAGAAAATTGAAAATGGCACTGTGGCTCAAGTGGTAGAGAGCTTGCCTTGAGCTGAAGAACTTAGGGACAGCGCCCAGGCTCAGAGTTCAAGCCCCATGACCGGAAAAAGAAAAGAAAAGAAGAAAAAAGAAAAGAAAAGAAAAGAAAGAATTAGCAAGCAGCCAGGTGCCAGTGGCTCATGCCTATAATCCTAGCTATGCAGGAGGCTGAGATCTGAGGATTGTGGTTAAAAGCCAGCCTGGGCAGAAAAATCTCCGTGAGACTCTTATCTCCAATTCACCCTCAAAAACCAGAAGTGGCACTGTAGTAGAGCATTAGCCTTGAGCACAAAGAGGCTCAAGGACAGCACCTAAGTCCTGAGTCAAGCCCATGACAGACAGACCAAAAAATAAAGAATTAGCAAGCAAAATTAGCAAAATAGACAAAATTAGCAAAACAGCTAAAATTAGAGCTAGACAGCAGTGGCTCATGCCTGTATTCCTAGCTGCTCAGGAGACTGAGGTCTGAGGATTGGGGGTCCAAGCCAGCTCAGGCAGGAAAGTCTATGAGACTCTTATCTCTAATAAATCAGCAAAAACCAGATATGGAGCTGTAGCTCAAGTGATAGAGCAGTAGCTTTGAGTGCAAAAGTTCAGGAACTGTGCCCAGACCCTGAGTTCAAACCCCATGACTGGTTTAAAAAAAAAAAAAAAGTTACTTTATGCTCCATTAGTTCTCTCATGCGTTCTTTATTTGCCAGTACTGTCCCTAAGCTTCTTTTGCTCAAGGCTAGCACTCTACCACTTGAGCCACAGCAACACTTCTGGCTTTTTCTGTGTATGTGGTATTGAGGAATTAAACTCAGGGCCTCATGCATGCTAGGCAAGCACTCTACCATTAAGCTACATTCCCAGCCCCTTGCATGCAATATTAATATTAATATGGTACTGTGATTTCTTTTTCTTTCTTTTTTTTTTGGTAGTGGGGCTTGAATCTGGGCCTGGGCGCTGTCCCTCAGCTCTACACCTTAAGGCCAGCACTCTACCACTGGAGCCATAGTACTACTTCTGGTTTTCTGGTAGTTAATTGGAGATAAGAGTCTTATGGACTTTGCTGCCCTGGCTGGCTTTGAACACAATCCTCAGATCTCAGCCTCCTGAGTAGCTAGGATTACATTTGTGAGCCACAAGCACCCAGCCTGGTACTGTGATTTCTACATGATATGCAAATTCAAGGTAGAAGAATTTTAGTATAGACAAGTAACATTGTGATCATTGAAATACAAACTCAAATAAAAGTTTTTTCTAATTTTCCAAATGGCAAAAATTGGAGTAAGGCAGGAATTATTTCCAAAGCAGAAATTCCTTTACATCTTGCAGTTGTAATATATATTTACCTGAGGTGTGACTGTGGGGTCAATTAGATTCTCAGTTAGAGACAGGAGTAAGGCATCCAATTCATCTGTAGCATCCTGTCAAAGACAAGGCAACGAGAGGTTAAATGATAAACTCATCATCAGACTAAGCTTTTCTGTATTTTCCCAATTTATAATTCTGACAGAGGAATAGTATTAAACAAACAACGACATTCAGGAATAATGGTTATTAATGATTCCAGTTCTTTAAAGAGAGGAACCTAAACTATAATCAAAACTTGAAAAAGAAGTGTTCTGTAAAACCTGGATGAAGTTAAGACTGTTCTGGCTTATTTTAGACCACAATGGTAAAAGTTTCAGCATAGGAGACAGTGACTCAAGGTGATCCATCAATTTCAAATGCTCCTTTATCTAGATGTATAGGTGCTGTACTGCTTAGCTAAGAATACAATATGAACTCTCTCCTTATAAATGTATGAACACTTTTAGTTAATTTTAATATTTGAAGTAATTTATGGAAGACCCAATTCTGTACTGCAGTATGTGAGAAGGAAAATTTAAAAACAATAAAGGACACAACGCCAATCTAACAGAATGGAAACGAGGAACTTGGGGTGTAAGGTATATAATAAATAATGACCTTTGTTTATTTATTTCTATTTGTTTTCAAGCCCTGGTGGGGTGGACCTCTTATTCCTTTTCAACATGCAATAAAGTTTTAGTCACAATCACACAAGAACTTCCTCTTTTCTTTCTCATCTCCCTCCCTCTACCTGGCCCTTTCCCGCCCCACTGCCTAAGTGCACCGTAACAGCCTGTACATGTCTCTACCATAGTGTATTATGATTCTCTCTCCCACTGCCTGATAAACAGTTTGAAAGCTGAGGGCATGTTTCATTTATTTTCTAATCTGCAATGCTTAGCATGCTGTCTGGTACATAGTATACATACAATAAATCTTTGAACTAAATGTTCTCCTCAGGTTCTATTTAACAATTTTCAGCAACTAGTCAAAGATATTTATGTTTTTTTTAAAGAATTTTAATGACAAAAAAACCTCTTGATTAAAGGTATTTTAGGTTAATTTTCATTTTAGACCTAAAGTCTAAGAGATTTTATACCTAAATATATTTTTGTATGGTGAGATTAAAGGTCAGTCCAAGTTTTTTTCTTTTTTATGATGTATTTGGTAAGTTTCTACAATCAAGAAACATAATAAAGGGGAAAATAGTAAATGTTAATTTGCAAGTGCAAGCTTTAATTTAACTTGTAAATTAAAACATTCACAGGTAATAAACAGTGTTTTTACAGTTTCTTCAAGTTGGTAAGAAATGACAAGAGGATACAAGAAAGGCAAAAGTTGGGATGAGCTGATTATATTGCATCATTATCAATGACAGGTCTGTTGTTTTAAGAAATGCATTCTAGGGGCTGGGAATGTGGCTTAGTGGTAGAGGGCTTGCCTAGCATGCATGAAGCCCTGGGTTCGATTCCTCAATACCACAGAAACAGAAAAAGCTGAAGTGGCGCTGTGGCTCAAGTGGTAGAGTGAACAAAAGAAGCCCAGATACAGTGCCCAGACCTTGAGTTCAAGCCCCAGGACTGGCAAAAAAGAAAAAAAAAAAAAAGAAAGAAATTCTAGCTGGATGTCAGTGGTTCAGGCCTGACTCCTAGCTATTCAGGAAAGAGATCCAGAGGATCTTAGCAATATTGAAGCTAGCTTGGACAGATAAGTCTTTGAGAGTTCATCTCCAAAATGATAAGCAAAAAAACCCAAAAGACAAATGAAAAACTTTAAACAAAATCAAACCAAACAGGTCAAGTCTCACATAACATATTCTTCAGAGTAAATCAGACTACAGATTTCTGCAAGACTGCTTATATGCTAAGGATATATACCCTGACTCTTTCTCTTTCAGTTCATACATAAACATGTCCATATTCATTTAATGAAAAGGAGTAAAAGTGTGGCTAGTGTCTAACAGCATCCTCAATACAAAAGTACAAACATCATTAAACTGGAGAGGAAAACCTGAGTTTTTTTCCTTCCTTCCTTCCTTCCTTCTTTTTTTCCTTCTTTTCTCTCCCTCTCCCTCTCTCCCCCCCCCCCCCCCACCTCTGTCATGGGGCTTGAACTCTGGGCCTGGGCACTCTCCCTCAGCTCTTCTACTCAAGGCAGGCATTTTACCACTTGAGCCACAGTGCTACTTCTGGTTTTTTAGCAGTTTATTGGAGATAAGCATTTCATGGACTTTCTTGCCCAGGCTGCCTTTGAATCATGATCCTCAGATCTCAGCCTCCTGAGTAGCTAGGATTATAGGTATGAGCCACCGGTGCCCAGCCTGAGTAACTTTTTTTGTGTGTGCTGGTCCCGGGGCTTGAACTGAGGGTGTGAGTGATGTTCCTGAGCATTGTTGCACTCTACCACTTGAGCTACAGCTCCATTTCCAGTTTTTTGGCAGTTAATTAGAGCTAAGAGTCTAAAGTACTTTCCTACCCAAGCTGGCTATGAACTGTGGTCCTGACATCTCTGCCTCCTGAGTGGCTAGGATTACAGATGTGAGACACCAGTACCTGGCTGAATAGCTCTTATGGAGAATCTGGTAACAGGATGATCCCTAGAGAACTGAGGCTCAATGGATTTCTCATAGTTTATGTCCTAATGCTAAGCAGAAATCACCAAACATTCCTAGTTATATTCAACTGAATATTGTCTTTAGAAAAACTTAAGAATTCCTACCTTTAGAATAGAACCATTGTCTGCAGCTGTGGTATGTAGCACAGCATGAGAATCTTGGCAGAGGGGCACATTATTCTCATTTAATACAGCACTAAAAAGAAAGAGATTAATTCAGATTATAGAGGACCTGTACAGGAAAAAATAACACTGTCGAACAAAACTTTAGAAAAGAATAAAGAATTCATGTAGGGGAAGAACAAATGATAACAGGAGAGGAGTACTCAACAATCAGTGCCACACTGTATACCTGTGTGAAACCTATCCCCACCCCTGCAAAACACCTTTTACATATAGCTCAGACTCACTTGCCACTGATTGGAACAGCAGACTACCTTGTTTCCCTCCAAAAATATCACTAAAATGAAAAAAACCCATAATATCTAAAAATTACTAAAGATTGCCAGTGGTAGTTCAGCAATCTTTAGAAAGTCCTAAAAGACACACAGAAGAAGAGAATGTTTTCAAGGTTAACAACAGCTTCAATGTTTCTTCAAATTTAGAGAAACTATATAAAGGATGGAAAGGCAGGCAAAATAGTTTCAGATCAAGGCTGTTTATAAAAAGCTATGCCAGTCACAAAAGAGTTTTTTAAAAAGCTATTATAGATGGGGCTGGGAAGGTGGCTCAGTGGTAGAGTGCTTGCTTTGCATGCCTGAGGCCCTGGGTTCGATTCCTCAGCACCACATAAGCAAAAAGAAAAAAGCCGCAAGTGGCGCTGTGGCTCAAGTGGTAGAGCGCTAGCCTTGAGCTGAAGAGCTGAGGGACAGCACCAGGCCCAGAGTTCAGGCCCCACGACCGGACCCAAAAAAAAAGAAGAAAAAAAAAAAAAGCTATTATAGATGATATAAATGGGAATGTTCAGTAGATCACAGTTTTATAGAATACCCAAAACTTTAGAGAAGAGTCAGGAAACACCAGGGGAAGCCACTGTCTGAGAACCTGGACTGGAGAGCTCCGCTGTAGAAGGAAGAGGCAATAACATCCATGGTGCTCCAGCTACTGCACCTCTCACTGCCAAAGTGAAAGGATGCTGCAACATATCTATAGCAGGATGTCTTATCTCCACATGGAAATAATGAGAACAAGAGCAATCCTAAAATGGTTTCAACACCAGGGAAGAAAGAAGAAGACCATAGACAAAAGGCTATTATCCACCAAGACATCATAAACAGCAGGAAACCTCAGCCTTCACCAGTATCACTGAAGTGTTCAAGCACCAGAAGTCCTAATAAAACCACAGGATGGAGAAAAATGAGAGATAAATTGAGGACTGCAAACCTTGGACCAGATTAATGAGTGGAAGCCAATTCTATTGTATCTACAACACTAAAGAAAACAGAGACAGAGGTGGAAAATAAAAGAATGTGCAGCTCGGTGCTGGTGGCTTATGCCTATAATCCTAGCTACTCAGAAGGCTGAGATCTAAGGATTGTGATTTGAAGCCAGCCTGAGCCAGGCGCTGGTGGCTCACACCTATAATCTTAGCTACTCAGGAGACTGAGAATTGTTGGATCGCAGTTCAAAGCCAGCCCAGGCGGGAAAGGCCATGAGACTCTAATCTCCAATAAACCACCAGAAAACCAGAAGTGGTGCTGTAGCTCAAGTGGTAGAGCACTAGCTTTGAGCCGAATTGCTGAGGGACAGAGCTCAGACCCAGAGTTCAAGCCCCATGACTGACAAAAAAAAAAAAAAAAGAAGAAGAAGAAGAAGAAGAAGAAGAAGAAGAAGCCAGCTGGGGCAGAAAAAGCAAATGAGATTCTTATTTCTAACTCACTAGCAAAAAGGCCAAAAGTGAAGCTTTGGCTCAAGTGGCACTCTACCACTTGAGCCAAAGCTCCACTTAGCAAAGAAGCTAAGGAAGAGCACCCAGGCCCTAAGTTCAAGCTCCAGTCCTGGCACCATTAAAAAAAAAAAAAAAGGAGTGAAATATGTTTTACAATGATTTTTCCCAACCCTTCAAGAAAAATTCTCATAGGTAGCATAGCTTAACACAAGGAAAATAAGAAATGAGAAGAAACTATGCCTCAGGAAAGCATAGACATTGGACTTATTAGATAAATACTTCACATGAACTGTCTCAAAAACTCACAAGCTGGGCGCTGAGGCTCATGCCTGTAATCCTAACCACAAGAAAACCAGAAGTGATGCTGTGGCTCAAGTAGTAGAGTGCTGGCTTTGAGCTGAAGAGCTGAGGGACAATGCCCAGGCCCAGAGTTCAAGCCCCATGACCGTGGGAAAACAAAACAAACAAACAAACAAAAAACTCTCACTAAACTAAATTACAAAGAACTAAAGGAGACCAGCAATAGAATGAGACAACAAATATAATTATATTAAAAATTTCAGAGCTGAAAGCATACCTTACAACTGTGTGTGTGCCAGTCCTAGAGCTGGAACTTGGGCTTTGGGTGCTGTCCCTGAGCTTTTTTACGCAAGGTCTGCGCTATACCACTTGAACCACAGCTCCACTTTGCTTGTTTTTTTTTTTTTTTTGGTGCTTAACTGGAGGTAAGAGTCTTACAGACTTTCCTGCCTGGGCTGGCTTTAAACTGCAATCCTCATATCTCAGCCTCATGAATGGCTAGAATTACAGGCATGAGCCACTGTCGCCAGGCTTTTTTTCTATGTATGTATGTATGTCAGTTGTGGGGCTTGAACTCTGGGCCTGGGAACTGTCCCTGAGCTCTTCAGCTCAAGGCTAGTGCTCTACCACTTGAGCCACAGCACCACTTCTGGCTCACATTTTTTAAAAGAAAAATTTACTAGAGGATATTCACAGCAGATTTAGGTCAAGAGCAGAGGTGTAGGAATGAAGAGGAGAAGAGGGGGAGAATACAGTCAAGAATTCAATGTATACACTACAAAATTAAGAAAATGAGGGAAGGGGCTAGGAGATGAGTGAGAATGCTGAAAGGGATGACACTGCTCAAGGTGCACTATTTATAAACTGCTCTATTAAGTGGCAAATAAAAAATACCTAAGATAGAACTTGGGTCGTGCTAAGTGCTGACTAACTTGTTAAATTAATGGGCAAAAATATTAATGAAGACTGACAGACTATATTGTGTTGCAGACATGGACATGAGCCCTCTAACTGGTTTACCTTAATCCTTGCACTACTGAACACAGTAAATATTAAATACATGCTGCTATTTCAATACAGAAAATTAAAACTTCAGGAGTTGGGGATTTAGCTCAATGGAAGAGCACTTGCCTGGCAAGTGTAAGGTCCTAAGTTTGGTCCTCAGCTCTGGGGAAAAAAAATCTGTAAAATTAAAACTTCAAACCTCAGTTGTATTAGCCCTATGTCAAGTACTCAGGAGCTTCTTGTGATTAAAACTTGCAGTACCAGACAGCACACATAAAGAACTTTCCAGGGGCTGGGAAGGTGGCTCAGTGGCTAGTACAGCAGGTTTGATTGCTCAGTACCACATAAATAGAAAAAACCAAAAGTGGTGCTGTGGCTCAAGTGGTAGAGTGCTAGCTTTGAGCTGAAGAGCTGAGGGACTGAACCCAGGCCCAGGGTTCAAGCCCTATGACTTTTACCCACACCCACACAAAACAAGAACACTTCTATTGCTGGAGCAATACTGGACAGTAGTATTCTCCCCTCTTCCCCCATCCCCACAGGTCATGGGGCTTGAACTCAGAACCTGGGCAGTGTCCCTGAGCTTTCATGCTCAAGGCTAGCTCTCTACCACTCTGAACCACAGGACCACTTCCGGCTTTTTCTGTTTATGTGGTACTAAGGAATTGAACCCAGGGCTTCATGCATGCTAGACAAACACTCTACCACTAAGCCACATCCCAGGCACAGGCTATTAATTGACATACTGATCTTTCTTATTGCTGTTTTCTCTCCATGAGAGGGTAAACACCAAAGAGGAAACTTTTGTCTATTTTATATCCTGCTGAAATCCTACTTACAATAATTCCTGGCATATAATTGGCACTTAATATATATTTGTTGACTTAAAAAAATTCGAGTGGCAGGGGCTGGGAAGGTGGCTCAGTGGTAGAGCGCTTGCCTTGCATGCATGAGGCCCTGGGTTCGATTCCTCAGCACCACATAAGCAAAAAGAAAAAAGCCGGAAGTGGCGCTATGGCTCAAGTGGTAGAGTGCTAGCCTTGATCTGAAGAGTTGAGGGACAGCGCCCAGGCCCAGAGTTCAGGCCCCATGACCGGACCCAAAAAAAAAAAAAAATTAAAAAAAAAAATCCGAGTGGCCAATTGAGATATCTGGTGTTAGAAACAACAAGACAATAATGAAAACAACTGAGCCCAAGGAACTTGTGGAATCCAAACACCAATATATCATTACTTGTACAGTCTAGGATGAAAGGGAGGAGGAGAAGACTAGTTTAAAAAACAACAGATAAAAACACAACAATTTGAATGAAAAGATATTTAAGAAGGTTGATAAACTCCATAGAATGAACTCAGGATCCAGAGAATTTGTATTATTTATACTGTCTAAAGATGAAAACAAGCTGGTGCCAGTGGTTCATGGCTGTAATCCTAGCTACTCAGGAGGCTGAGATCTGAGGATCACAATTCAAAGCCAATCTGGGTAGGAAAGTCCCTAAGACTATCTCTAATAAACCACCAGAAAACCAGGAAGTGAGTGGTGCTCTGGCTCAAGTGGTAGATAGAGCACTAGCCTTGAGCCTGAAGAGCTAAGGGACAGCTCCCAGGCCGAGTTCAAGCTCCACACAACAACAACAACAAAAAAGATGAAAACAAGGAAGAGACTTTTTTTGGTGCTGGAATTGAGGCTTGAACTCAGGGCCTGGTGCTCTTGTTTGGCTTTTTCTGCTCAACTTCTTTTTTTTTTTGGGTCCGGTCATGGGGCCTGAACTCTGGGCCTGGGCACTGTCTCTCAGCTCTTCAGCTCAAGGCTGGCATTCTACCAGTTGAGCCACAGCGCCACTTTCGGCTTATGTTGTGCTGAGGAATCGAACCCAGGGCCTCAGGCATGCAAGGCAAGCGCTCTACCACTGAGCCACCTTCCCAGCCCCTCTGCTCAACTTCTTGAGCTACATTGCCACTTCCAAGAAGAGAATTTTGAAAGTAGTAAGACTTATTATATAAAGATCCTAATAAGATTAACTGCCAATGTCTCAATAGAAATCATGAAAAAATAGCACTGGATGACACATATCAACTAAGAATTATATAGTCAGCAAATCTACTTTTGAAAATGAGGGAAATAAAGACATTCTCTTTTTTTTATTCTTTTTCTTTTTTTGTTGGTTGTGGGTCTTGAATTCTGGGCCTGGGCACTGCCCTTCAGCTCTTCAGCTCAAGACTAGTACTTTACCACTTGAACCACAGCGCCACTTCCAGTTTTCTAGTTAATGGAGATAAGAGTCTCACAGATTTTCCTGCCCAGTGCTCATTCTGAACTGCAATCCTCAGATCTCAGGCTCCTTAGTATCTAGGATTACAGGCTTGAACCACTGGCTCAGCAATAAAGACATTTTCAAACAAACAAAAGCAAAGGAAGCTTATTGTTATTATTATTTTTTTTGTCAGTCATGGAGCTTGAATTCTGGGCTTAGGGGCTGTCCCTGTGCTCTTCAGCTTAAGGCGAGCGCTCTACCACTTGAGCCACAGTGCCACTTCCGGTTTTCTAGTGGTTTACTGGAGATAAGAGTCTCACAGTTTTCTAGTGGTTTACTGGAGATAAATAAGAGTCTCAAGGACTTTCCTGCCTAGGCTGGCTCTGAACCATGATCCTCAGATCTCAGCCACCTGAGTAGGTAGGATTACAGGCATGAGCCACTGGCAAAGGAAGCTTATTATAAGTAGATATGCTTTACGTAAATGCTAAAGAGGATCCTTCAGGCTGTGATAAAGGATTTTATCTATTAATCTGAAATTATATGAAGAAAAAATAAAGAATACAGGTTAAAGAAAAGATCACTGAAGGGCTGGGAAGGTGGCTCAGTGGTAGAGCGCTTGCCTTGCATGCTCAAGGCCCTGGGTTCGATTCCTCAGCACCACATAAGCAAAAAGAAAAAAGCCGGAAGTGGCGCTGTGGCTCAAGTGGTAGAGTGCTAGCCTTGAGCTGAAGAGCTGAGGGACAGCGCCCAGGCCCAGAGTTCAGGCCCCACGACCGGACCCAAAAAAAGAAAAAAAAAAAAAAAAGATCACTGAATACACAATGATGAACTAAAGAAATTAGTATAGAACAAGGAATAAAAGCTTAACAAGACAAATTGAAAAGATAATTGAGAGTTGGAAGAAGTAGCAAAGAAATTCACTCAGTTAATGTGAGAATCTAGGCTTGGCAAGATTTTAAGAACAGTTCATTGTGATGTCAAGATGACACTGAAATTAACCATGACCCTCAGAAGAAAACAGAATGCATTTCTTATCAAGCATGACAAGATAAAAAATCTTTATAGAGGACTTTGCTCTATTCTTTGAAACAAGTGAAAAATGAAAATGTGAGAATACCTTCAAATAATCTTCAAATACTCAGTGGCTCTCTAATGGACAGAAAAGAGTGAATATAAGCTACCTTTCAAACTATGTGTTCTGAATGAGGGAAAGTAAAAAGAAAAGATAGTGGAAACAAATAAGAAAATCAATTCAATTCAGAATTGTACCTGATTGTGGTAGTATCCTGAACACTGGCATTTTTATGACTTAAGCTATCTTCTCTTGTAACCTAAGAAAATGGAATCATAAAAAAAAAAAAAATCAAGAAATTTACATTTCTTTCCAGTAAAAATAGAAGTACCTATTGCTTCAGTTCAAGTAAGAGGTAATTACAATATAACAGTACTGCATCTAATGCAAATCTATCTCATAGCCAAATTAGCAATCCAAAATAACTTCAACATGTTTGACTATAAATATTCATGCTTTTACTCCTGGGCTTTCAATTGCTGAACATCCTATAGCATGTGACATTATATACAAAATCACAAATATTCAATGCCAAAATGTTTTTCATATTTAAGTGATACAATATACATTTGGTTTTTATTTTTTCCTAAATTTTAAGAGGGAAATAGACAAAAACTGAAGAGTTCAGTTTTGCCTCAACTTTATTGACACATTATTTATATATAGTAAAATGCATCGATTTTAAATGTAAGATTAGTGAATTCTGAAAAATATTTACAGGTGCATAACTATTATATTTCCTCCATAACCAACATTTCTACTACCACTTTGCTCCAAAATATTCCCTTGAAGCATCTCACTTAATTCCATCAAAATCAACTGTGGCAACCTATGATATGTATTTTCTGGTTTCATATGAACTAGAATCACGTACTTTGTGTGTATGTGTGTTGGTCATGGGGCTTAAACTCTGGGCCTGGGTGCTGTCCCTCAGCTCTTCAGCTCAAGGCGAGCACTCTACCACTAGAGCCACAGCACCATTTCCGGTTTTGAGTGGTTTATTAGAGATAAGAGTTTCACAGACTTTCCTGCCTGGGCTGGATTTGAACCACGATTCTCAGATCTCAGTTTCCTGAGTAGCTAGGATTACAGGTGTGAACCAGTCGTGCCCGGCTTTCACATCTTCCTCTTTAGAGAAACATGAGATCTTTCTTTTTGGGGATTCACTCACATGATTGTAATATATCACCAACTCATTCCTTTTTGTTTACTGAGTAGTTTTCCCTGTAGGGGCATTTGTTTATCTATTGGTTGACATTTGGGTGGGTTGTTTCCATATTTTAGCTACTAGAAGTTTCTAGGAACATTAGTGGACTAATAATATCAATGTGAATCTAAGTTGAATATAATAGCTGATTAGTGTATGTTTAATACACTTTATATAGTGTTTATTCCATTGTCTATCCTTGCCAGAAATATATGTGTACAGCAGGAACTCTGCCATCACCAACACAAGGATGATCACTCAGTACACTTTAGCTATGTCAATAAATATGTCTTTCATAATGAAGGATGAAAAATCTGTGCTTAGATTTTTTTTCAGACACTTTTATTGGGCTGAAAGAAGTTCCATTCTACTCCTACTTTTTTTTGTTGTTGTTGTTGTTTTTTTTGGTCCAGTCGTGGGGCCTGAACTCAGCTGGGCCTGGGCGCTGTCCCTCAGCTCTTCAGCTCAAGGCTAGCGCTCTACCACTTGAGCCACAGCGCCACTTCCGGCTTTTTTGTTATGTGGTGCTGAGGAATGGAACCCAGGGCCTCAGGCATGCAAGGCAAGCGCTCTACCACTGAGCCATCTTCCCAGCCCTCTACTCCTACTTTGATGAGGGTTTTTTTTTTTTTTAAACATGCACAGCTGTTGAATTTGGGGAAATGTCTTTTCTTTATGAATTGAGATAATTTTTATGTATTTTAAAATATCCTGAAGATGGAATGATAAATCAATTTTTTTTCCTGAGAGAGACACTGTATTGCTGTAATGTAAGATCCTACTTTTAAATTGCTTTAGTATGATTTGATATTTTATTACAAACTTTTACATCTATGTTTAAGAGTAGAATTAATCTGGAGAGTTTTTCTGTTTTTTGTTTTGCTTGTTGTGGGGCTTGAACTCTGGGCCTGGGCACTGTCCCTTAGCTCTTCAGCTCAAGACTAATGCTTTACCACTTGAACCACAGCACCACTTCCGGTTTTCTGGTGGTTTATTGGAGATAAGAGTCCCATGGACTTTCCTGCCCAGACTGGTTTTGAATCATGATCCTCAGATCTCAGCCTCTTTAGTAGCTAGGATTACAGGCGTGAGCCACTGGTGCTTGGCTGAAATTCTTTCTTCAAGTTAAGAAAAGTCCAAAAAATACAACTAAAATGCAAGGCAACTACTATGGAAAACAATAAAAACAAAAAACCCAGGAAGTCTACAAGTATAAAAACGTTTAAGTCACACAGTTCTGGAGATTGACAAGACCAAGATCAAGATACTACAAGATTTAATTCTGGTGAAGAACTAATACATGGTATCTTCTTGTGGCTTTCTCACCAAGTACAAGAGGCAAACAAACTCAGGGCTTTTTCTAAGAGCACTAAAAACACTCATACCATAATAAGTGAGAACACAGCTTTATGATTACTTTGACCATTACTACTGACATCAATACTTTATCTATATTGTTTTCTTTTTGTATCAGTTCTGGGACTTGAACTCAAGGCCTTGTGCTCTTGCTTATCTTTTTTAACGTTGGTGCTTTTCCATGTGAGCCACACATCCACTTTTAGCTTCTCACTGGTTATTGGAGAGAAGAATCTCTAGGATTTGTCTACCTAGGCTGGCTCTCAATCTGTAGATCTCAGCCTGCTTATTACAGGACTAAGCCAGTGGCACCTAGATAACACTTGGTAAATTATGGTTTAGATACTCCTTTACCTTTCTTATTTCATCCTCACAACATTCTTAAGGTAGTTATTAGCATTATTTATTATTTAATTTATTTTATTTTAAGCATTAACAAAACTGAGGCATAGACTCATATATCAAGTCATGAAATTGGTAAGTAGAATAAAAATGGGATTTTACTTTTCATATCACCAGGATTATATCTATTAAAGGCAGCTTACCTTCTGCACAGATTCTACTTGAGCCTTTAAAATGTTACTCTTGAAGTCAGTAGGAAACCTTATGGCATTTGGTCCTGGGCTCTCAATGGCATTATTGAGACATTTCTCAGTCAACTTCACCACTTCTTCCTAAATATTAAAAACATACTTTATTAACCTCCACAGACCATAGTTATTAAAAGCAGGGAAGGACACTGGGTGCCAGTGGCCCACACCTATAATCTTAGCTATTCAGGAGGCTGAGATCTGAGGATCACAGTTCAAAACTAGTCCAGGCAGGGGCTGGGAAGGTGGCTCAGTGGTAGAGCGTTTGCCTTGAGCCTGGGTTTGATTCCTCAGCACCACATAAGCAAAAAGAAAAAAAAAAAAAAGCTGGAAGTGGTGCTATGGCTCAAGTGGTAGCACGCTAGCCTTGAGCTGAAGAGCTAAGGGCCAGCACCCAGGCCCAGAGTTCAGGACCCACAACCCGACCCCCCCCCACAAAAAAAAAAATTAGTCCAGGAAGTAAAGTCTGTGAGACTCTTATCTCCAATAAACCACTAGAAAACTGGAAGTGGTGCTGTGACTCAAGTGGTAGAGTGCACGCCTTGAGCTGAAGAGCTGAGGGACAGCGTCCAGGCCCAGAGTTCAAGCCCCATGACCGACAAAAAAAAGACAAAAAAAAAAAAGCAGGAAGGAATGATAAAAGTGAAATAATCAGACAAGCAAGAAATCATATGTCTTAAGCAGCTATTTCCTACTCAGGACATAATCAGCTACTATAATCATCTACCTGCTAACAGCTCCAGAATCATATAATTTAGGTTGAACTAAAATCCAGATGGAATAAATTAGAGCCAATGTCACACATTCTCCATATGTGGTTTAATTCAGGCATTTATCATAAGTGGTAGAGTCAGTTATTTTGTTGCTTAAAGATAGAAACTGGAGCTAGGTACCAGTGGCTCATGCTTGCAATCCTAGGTATGCAGGGATATAATTATTTGAAAGCCTCATTAACTTAAGAGATCTAGGATGGGAAGAGGTCATTGGAGGGCTGGGAAAGTGGCTTAGTGGTAGAGTGCTTGCTTTGCATGCATGAGGCCCTGGGTTCGATTCCTGAGCACCACATAAGCAGAAAAAGCTGAAAGTGGTGCTGTGGCTCAAGTGGTAGAGCACTCGCCTTGAGCTGAAGAGCTGAGGGATAGCGTCCAGGCCCAGAGTTCAAGCCCCACGACCAACCAAAAGAAAAAAAAAAAAAGGTCATTGGAGATAGCCATTCTGCAAAACTTTTTTGGGTTTGGTGACAGATTGAAGTATCCTAAGTGCCAAGAACTTGTCACTCATCTGTGAGCTCCACATGATTTTTATCTTTTTATAAATTTGTAGTCTATTAAAATAAAAAATCCCAGATGACTAAATCAATGTGAGTATTGTAGGTCTGATGTGTCATGAGTCTCAGAAATGGAAGGACAAAGAGTGAACAAATGCAGCAGTGGTACTCACTAGACAAGACAGTGTGCTGAATATGAACCATACAACTTATGGGTAGCGGAAAAAACTGGGAGAGAGCGAGGGAAGGGATAACACTGCCCCAAAAGAAATATACTCCTTACCTGACTTATGTAACTCCTGTGTACATAACCTTTATAATAACAATAATTTTTTTTAATGAACTATACAACTTGTTGGTTGGGATAGGAGGGAAAAACTGGGAGACAGCAAGGGAAGGGGTGAGACTATCCAAAAAGAAATGTACTTTTTACCTGACTTATGTAACTGTAAACCCTTTGCATATCACCTTTATAATAACCAAAAAATGTTTAACAGTCCTTCAACTAGATAGGGTAAATCAACATAAAGGTTTAACAGAGGTAACCCTTTTTACTTTGTGTTTTTTTTTAAAAAAAACAACATGATTAATGTTGTTGTACAAGTTTCCTCCTCCTCCTTTAAGTACCCACACACTTCATCTTTTCAAACGAGAAAACAGGTTTATATGCACTCAGAACAGATTTTCCACTAAAAGAAGAAATAGTATTATCTTTGTAAAGGAAATATTTCTGGGAGGTCTGAACATGTATAAGTAGATGAGTGATCTGAATACCTGACTGTTGATGTTAACATCAGTGTTTGATGGTGGGGATGACAGAGAATTATTCTCCACCTCAATCTGTTTGAGTTTCTCTGTGGCATCTTTCAATGCTAGTGGGAAGAAAAAAGGCAAGTTGTTACAGCAGCTATAATAGGATACAGATATGAGTTTTGTTTTCCCACAACACCAATTACCATCAGCTAAAGTAATAATTCAGATGAAGACAAAAGAAGTACACATTTTCCCATAACCAATATATTTTACATTTCTTTTCATATATGTTCCAATATATTCCTTTCCAATAACTTGATTAAAAGTTAATCCTCCAGGATGGGAAGGTGGCTCAGTGGTAGAGTGCTTGCTTTGCATGCATGAGGCCCTAGGTTCAATTCCTCAGTACCACATAAGCAGAAAAAGCTGGGAAGTGGCACTGTGGCTCAAGTGGTAGAGAGCTAGCCTTGAGCTGAAGAGCTGAGGGATAGTGTCCAGGCCCAGAGTTTAGGCCCCATGACCAGAAAAAAAAAGAAAAACGTTAATCCTAAGTAGGATCACTGTTCTGTGTCTGAACTGCTATTAAAACAACAACTACCTATCAATTCTCAATAGTACATGCGCTTAGGGTTTATCAGCCAAGAGACTTACAGAGAACAGTTGTTAAATGTCTTTTCTTTAACGTCAACTCAAACTCATGTCTAACCTTAGTACTCTGTTATCTGTAGCCCTGATCTTGACTATACATTGCTTAAAATTAAACTCATTTTGGAGAAACTGATGAAAAGGCAACTATTTACTCAATTATTAACTTCTATAGTACTATCAGGTATGATGCAGATCAGGCATCTTGTCTTCAAAAAGTCTAAAATACACTACAAATAAAGTCTTCTAATTACTAAAATGATTATGTGTTAAGTACAATTCACATTTAAACATATTTAACTGTCCTGAATTAATCTTTTTTTTTATTGGCCATGGGACTTGAACTCAGGGCCTGGGTGCTATCTCTGAGCTCTTTTGCTTAAGGCTAGCACTTTACCACTTTAAGCCACAGCTCTACTTCCTGTTTTATGAGTGGTTACTTAGAGATAAGAGTCTTACAGGACTTTTCTGCCCTGGCTGGCTTCAAACCACAGTCCTCAGATCTCAGCCTTCTGAGTAGCTACGATTGCAGGTATGGCTACCAGCACCAGCCCAATCTTACTCCTCAGAGATTAATTTGGTCTGACTTTGAATTCTTACCAGTCAATTAACAAATAAATCTATTCAATACCTAATAATTTTTATATAATCAGGTAGAAGAAAGAAGGAAGGGCTGGGAATATGGCTTAGTGGTAGTACCTAGTATCCATGAAACCCCAGGTTCAATTCCTCAATACCATCTGAACAGAAAAAGCCAAAAATGGCACTGTGGCTCAAGTGGTAGAGTGCTAGCCTTGAGCAAAAGGAAGTTCAGGGACAGTGCCCAGGCCCTGAGTTCAAGCCCCAGGACTGGCAAAAAAAGAAAGAAAGAAAGAACTATGAAATCATGACTGGGTCAAAAGGATCTTCTAAAAATGATCATTAATAAAATGTAGTGAATTGTCTCCCTGGTTGCACATCAGAATCAAATGGATACCTTTGAGAAATTCTGATTCCCAAGGCTTACTCTTGAAGAATCTTATCAGAATAACTGGAGATAAGATTCCTGTCATGAAACTAAAACTCTTCAGGTTTTACTGTTCAAAACAGAGTCATTAATTTAATGCTGGTATTCCCAAATGGTATCATTTATGTATTCTTTCTTTATTTTCGGTCATGCAGCTTGAAGTAAGGACTTGGGCACTGTCCGAGCTTCTTTTGCTTAAGGCTAGTACTCTACCATCTGAGCCACAGCACCACCTCTGGCTTTTTCTGTTTATGGGTACTGAGGAATGGAACCCAAGGCTTCATGCATGATAGGAAAGCACTCTATACTAAGCCACATTCCAAGCCTTGATGTATTCCTATCTCTGGTTTTGTTATGCTTCAAATTATCTTACAGTGAATTTCATATGAAGCTGTTATCACACACATTTTAGTTTATGCTGGTTGTTAATAGTTTTTGGTTAAAATGAAGCTGCTGCTACTTCCATAGGACTGAGAAACCTCCTGAGATGGAAGATAAGGTGATTAAGAAAAAAGGGATTATTATTTTTACCTACCTATGTAAATCACAACAAAATGTATAATAAACTAGATATCAAGACCAAAAAGATCTCACTCTTAACATAAAAACGATCTAAGTAAGCCATAATTAATACCTTAAGTGCTCTAATTAATATAAGCTCATGCCTATATTCCGAAGCTATTCAAGAGTGAGATTCAAATCTTCCCCAGGCAGACAAATCCAAGACACTCATTTTGTAAATGACATTTTATTTATTTTTCCAAGATACTCTTTTATCTCCAATTAACCAGAGAAAAGCAGAATTTAGAGATGTGGTTCAAGTGGTAGAGTGCTAGCTGTGAACAAAAAAAAAAAGCTAAGAAGTGCTAGGCCCTGAGGTCAAGTCTCAGTACTGAAGGGGAGAAAAATCTATTTCTCACTTCACCTTAACGAAATGTAATCAAGTTGAACTAAGTTACATTAATGAAACTCCTACAGTATGGAAGAATTTCTCTGGCAATAACCTCAACAGCATTTAAGCTCCGCTTGGGTATTTTCTATTATAAGGAGTTTACTAACTCTTAGATATTTATCTCTAATATATGGCAGAAAATTCTTCCCTATGCTGATACAAAATATGAAAAATGTTCATTTATGAGATTCAACAATAGCCGGGCACCAGTGGCTCATACCTATAATCCTAGTTACTCAGGAGGCTGAGATCTAAGGATTATGGTTCAAAGCCAGCTGGGGCAGAAAAGTCCATGAGACTCTTATCTCCAATTAACCACCAGAAAACTAGAAGTGACGCTGTGGTTCAAGTGGTAAAGAACTCACCTTGAGCTAAAGAGCTCAGGGACAGCACCCAGGCCCAGAATTCAAGCCCCAGGACTGACAAAAAAAAAAAAAAAGATTCACCAATAAACCAGCATAAAATAAATTCTTTGCAAGCAAGGCACTAGTGGCTCATGCCTATACTCCTAGCTAACTTAGGAAGCAAAGATCTGAGGATCAAAGCCAGCCTGGGCAGGAAAGTCTGAGACTTTTATCTCCAATTAACCACCAAAAAACCATACAGGAGATGTAGCTGGAGTGGTAGAGCACCAGCTTGAGTGAAAAAGCTAAATGATAGTAAACAGTCAAACCACAGTACTGGCATATATCATAAAAAATTCTTTGCTATAGCCGACTTCAAAGAGTTTGTAGCATTATCACATCTCATACTTTTTAAAAAAGGCATCTCTGGTTTATTTATTTATTTTTTGGGGGGGGGTCCGGTCGTGGGGCCTGAACTCTGGGCCTGAGCGCTGTCCCTCAGCTCTTCAGCTCAAGGCTAGCGCTCTACCACTTGAGCCACAGCGCCACTTCCAGCTTTTTTCTTTTTGCTTATGTGGTGCTGAGGAATCGAACCCAGGGCCTCGAGCATGCAAGGCAAGCGCTCTACCACTGAACCACCTTCCCAGCCCCATCTCTGGTTTATTCCATGTTGTCCTAATCTAATTTTATTTGTTAAAAATTTTGTACTCAATAAACGTTTAATACAACACTGAAAGAATTATCATAGCACTGAAGGAATTACACTTGTGTGTGTGTGTGTGTGTGTGTGTGTGTGTGTGTATGTGTGTGTGTGTGTGTGTGTGTTCCAGTATTGGCATTTGAACTCAGGACCAAGACCTGTCCCTTAGCTTTTGTTTTGTTTTGTTTTATTCTAATCCCTGGGGCTTGAACCCTGAGCCTCTTTGTGCAAAAGGCTAGCACTCTACAGTGCCATTTCCCACTTTTTCTGTTTATGTGGTACTGAGGAAAGAAACCCAGGGCTTCATGAATGCTAAGCAAGCACTCTATCACTAAGCCACATTCCCACCTCTCCCTTAGCTTATTTGCTCAAGACTAGCACTTAAGCCACTGTTCTACTTCTGGCTTTTTGCTGGTTAATTGGAGATAAAAGTAGACTCACAGGGGCTGGGAAGTTGGCTCAGTGGTAAAGCGCTTGCCTTGCAGGCCTGAGGCCCTGGGTTCGATTCCTCAGCATCACATAAGCAAAAAGAAAAAAGCTGGAAGTGGCGCTGTGGCTCAAGTAGTAAAGCGCTAGCCTTGAGCTGAAGAGCTGAGGGACAGCGCCCAGGCCCAGAGTTCAGGCCCCACGAACAGACCCAAAAAAAAAAAAAAAAGTAGTCTCAAGACTTTCCTGCCCAGGCTGGCTTTGAATTGTGATCCTCAGATCCTAATCTCTTGAGAAGCTAGGATTATAAGGCTTGAGCCACTGGCAGAATTATACTTTTTTTTTGTCGGTTGTGGGGCCTGAACTCCGGGCCTGGGCACTGTCCCTCAGCTCTTCAGCTCAAGGCTAGCACTCTACCACTTGAGCCACAGCGTCACTTTCAGCTTTTATCAGCTTATGGGGTGCTGAGGAATCGAACCCAGGGCCTCATGCATGCAAAGCAAGCACTCTACCACTGAGCCACCTTCCCAGCCCAGAATTACACTTTTTAAATTCATATGAACATAAAATGGATATAAATGAAATCAATATTGCCATCAGGATAAAGGAGTCTATTTTAATTCTAGAAATATGCTAGTCCTGCTTCTTGCCAAACCTAAATCCTGAAAAGCTTTCATTTTATGTGTTATCTTCTAAGTAACAAAGAGCAAGAATTTCTAACAAACGGTAAAGAGCAGGTATGTCAAAACTAGAAAGAAATTACTGCAGAGAAAATACATGACAAATGATAAGGAAGAATGTTTTCTTTGTTTTTTTCTTTCTTGGTCAGTTGTGGTGGCTTGAACTCAGGGCCTGGATGCTCAGCATTTTGTGATTAAGGCTAGCACTCTACCAACTGAGCCACAGCGCCACTTCCAGTTTTTGAGTGGTTAATTGGAGTTTCAGATCTCAGCTAGGATTACAAACAAGAGCCGCCGGTGCCTGGCTACTATCTACTATTTTTTTTTTTTGGTTAGTCGTGGGGCCTGAACTCTGGGCCTGGGCACTGTACCTCAGCTCAAGGCTAGCACTCTACCACCTGAACCACAGCACCACTTCTGGCTTTTTCTGCTTATGTCTTTTTCTGCTCATGTAGTACTGAGGAATTGAACCCAGGGCCTCACGCATGCAAGGCAAGCACTCTACCACTGAGCCACCTTCCCAGCCTGCAACCTACTATCTTAAAAAATCCAATTATATTATTTTAAAATTTTCAACATATCAAGTGAAATTTTATTTTTGTGACCCTGATTTCAGACATTACAAATACAATTTAACAAATATAATTTAATTATAGTAGAGGTTAATAAAACAGCAATCATTCATTTAACAAGGCATTTGTAGTGGCTACCTAGGGAACAACAGAAAAAAAAAATTTAACTTCCTTACTAGTAGTACTTCAGCATGTTCTCTTAGCCAGAATCATTTTTGTAACTGTTCATTGAACTTCTTATTTTTGATTTATTAAGTGCTTTTGTACTGTGCAATATTAGGAAACTGTTTAAGCCAAACTCTCAACAACAGACTTCTTTTTTTGGCCAGTTCTGGAGCTTGAACTCAGGGCCTGGGCACTGTCCCTGAGATTCTTTTGCTAGCACTCTATCACTTGGGCCACAGCACCACTTCTGGCCTTATCTGTTTATGTGGTACTAAGGAATCACGCCCATGCTAGGCCAGCACTCTACCACTAAACTACATCCCCAACCTCCACAGACATTTTTTAATAGGCAAATCACTTTCACCTTTTAAGTGTGAAAAAACTTAAGAAAAGCAGTACACTTCTGTGGAACTGGCCAACAATAATCTTCACCAATAATGAACTAATAGAATATTCAAACCTTCTGTGCTCTCAAGGAAATCTTTTTTTTGGGTCCGGTCCTGGGGCCTAAACTCTGGGCCTGGGCACTGTCCCTCAGCTCTTCAGCTCAAGGCTAGCGCTCTACCACTATGAGCCACAGCGCCATTTCCGGCTTTTTTCTTTTTTCTTATGTGGTGCTGAGGAATCGAACCCAGGGCCTCATGCATGCAAGGCAAGCACTCTACCACTGAGCCACCTTCCCAGCCCTCTCAAGGAAATCTTTAAGGAAGTTTTTTCTTGTTTTGTTTTTTTCTGGGTCCAGTCATCGGCCTGAACTCTGGGCCGGGGCGCTGTCCCTCAGCTCTTCAGTTCAAGGCTAGCTCTCTACCACTTGAGCCACAGCGCCACTTCCGGCTTTTTTCCTTTTTGCTTATGTGGTGCTGGGGAATCAAATCCAGGGCCTCAGGCATGCAAGGCAAGCGCTCTACCACTGAGCCAACTTCCCAGCCCAAGGAAGTTTTTACTAAATCTTATTTTGTACTCAAGGAGCATGTAAAACCCAAGAATGAATGTTCATAAGTGTATAAATAATAACTCATAGGTAATACTGTTAATGCATTACTTTAAAATTTTTCCAAAGTTCTCCTAAATATAAAAAAGTGTTAGGAAGGCATAATTGTTCTAAACTAATTTATTAACTTTTTTTTTGGGGGGGTCCGGTCATGGGGCCTGAACTCTGGGCCTGGGCGCTGTCCCTCAGCTCTTCAGCTCAAGGTTAGCGCTCTACCACTTGAGCCACAGTGCCACTTCCGGCTTTTTTCTTTTTGCTTATGTGGTGCTGAGAAATCGAACCCAGGGCCTCATGCATGCAAGGCAAGTGCTCTACCACTGAGCCACCTTCCCAGCCCTTATTAACTAACTTGATTAATTTACTATTCTGAAAAAATTAAAAACCTGACTATTCACTAAAATATTCTTGGAGGAAGTGATTTAAATATTTAATTTCAAAAGGAGATAAAAAAGTGCCACTGACATATTACAGAATATTTACTTACTTTGACACTCCATTTCAGGTTCCTCTAATCCAGCTGGTCTGGAGGCTTTGTTAATATCATCCAGTGCTGGGGTTGTTTCCACAGTATCTGATGCCCCAACTATATCACCAACAGTTGTTTTTAACAAGTCTGGACTATTGAGCAAATCAATACTCAGAGGCAAGCTATAAAGGTAACAGAAAACTTACTTAGAGAAGAAATTTATCATGAAAGGAATTTAAAATACTAACAAAAATCACTGTTGGAAAGTAAGCATGAAAGTTTTGTTGAACTAGCTTCATTCTGCTTTCAAAATCCTTCCAGCAATGAATCAAAGGTTATTTCCCCCTGAAATAAACTAAGAGGGGAAAAGAAACTATTGAAAGCATCAGGTTACAAAAGAAAACAATAGCCAGGCGCCAGGGCTCACGACTGTAATCCTAGCTACTCAGGAGGCTGAGATCTGAGGATTGCGGTTCAAAGCCAGCCCGGGCAGGAAAGTCCATGAAACTCTTATCTCCGATAAACCACCAGAAAACCAGAAGTGGCACTGTAGCTCAAGTGGTAGAGCGCTCACCTTGACCCGAAGAGCTGAGGGATAGCGCTCAGGCTCAAGCCCCATGACCGACAAAAAAAGAAAAAAGAAAACAATAGAAGGGCACCAGGAAGCTGAGAGCTGAGGATCACAGTTCCTGAGACTTTTGTCTCCAATTAACTAAAAAAAAAAAAAAAAAAAAATGGAAGTGGCATTGTGGTTCAAGTGGTAAAGCGCTAGCCTTGAGCACATGGAGGCTCAGGGATAGTGCCCAGGCCCTGAGTTCATGCTCTACAACCGACCAAAAAAAAAGGATTCTTAGATTCAAGAAACAAAGGTGAGCCTTATTACTTACTGAGACCACAGCACAGATTTAGGAAAAAGAAGGAAGTGCTCAGAGCATTCCTTCTAGCTATAAAGATGAGGCTAAAGTCCAGGATACCAAGGCAGATAGAAGTTGTGGGACAGAGTACACAGAGCCCTGGGAGGTATGCAGAGGATTTCTCCCCTCCCTCCCCCAAAGTATTATGCAAGAAACTCCTCACAACCTGGAAGGGAGCTACTTGAATGAATTATAGGAAACTTTTGGTTCTCACTGGGACAGGGTACCTATTTCAACAAATGTACTGAAAACCAGTAGTTTACAGTGCACAGAACATTCAGGAATGTTTTGTCTCTTAAGTGGGAAGCAATTATCCCAGACTAAGCACTGCAACAGACTCACCTAACAAATCATAAAAGTGAGTCCTGTGGGGTTAGTGGCAGAGGGCTTGCCTCACATGTATGAAGCCCTGCCTTTGATTCCTCAGTAAAATAAAAAAAGCTGGAAATGGTGCTGAATGTTAGCTGAATGTTGCAGAATGCTAGTCTAGAATAAAAGTTCAAACACAGTGCCCAGACCTGAGTTCAAGCTCCAGGACTGGCCAAAAAAAAAAAAAAAAGTGAGTCTTGAAAGGGCCAAGCTGTGTTCAAGTAACTCAACCACATACAAATAAAACTCAATTAGATTTAGAGTACTACCAAAATACTTAGCACCAACCAAAGTAAAATGCCCAATGTCAGACTTCTACCAAGCCAATGAGAAATAAAGCAAGATTTACCCTAAGAATGTACAGTTAATGTAGCATGCCAAAATCAACTAATGTATTAGCTTTCAAGTGCCAAAATCAGCATTTGAACTTGGTACCTGACACTCACTGGCTGAAACTCTACCAACTGAGCCTGGGCTCCAAACTCTTATGTTTTTTTGTTGGTTGTGGGACTTGAACTCTGGGCCTGAGCTCTTCAGCTCAAGGCTAGAGCTCTACCACTTGAGTCACAGTGCCACTTCCAGTTTTCTTGGTTTACTGGAGATAAGAGTCTCATAGACTTTCCTGCCTGGCTGGCTTTGAACCACGATCCTCAGATCTCAGCCTCCTGAGTAGCTAGGATTACAGGTGTGAGCCACCAGTGCCCAGCTCAACCCCTCTTATTAATAAATACTATTACATTGGTATCTCCGTGGATGCAGAAAAGCATCTGACAAAATCTAACACCATCACAGTAAAAATGCTCAACAAATTAACAGCATCTCTACGAAATAACAACAAAAAAAACCCTCAAAAATCAAAATCCCAAGAATTATTATCTTAATGGTGAAAAATAAATGCTTTCTCCTGTAAGTTAGAAAGAGAAAAGAGATGTCCATACTCTTCTTCATTGTACTAGAGGTTCTAACTAATTCAATAAGGAGATGGGGCAAGTAATACAAGTAAAGGAATACAAAAACACTCCTAAAATTAACCAAGTTCAGAATTTTCAAAATACAAGATTAATATACAAAATCAAGTATATATTTGTACACTAGCAATAAACAAATTAAAATTAAGAAAATAAACCCATTCATGGCAAAAATCAAGGAATACAAACTTCGGAATAAATTTATTGAAGAGTATGTAGAGCTTGAGACACTGAAAGTATAAAATAAAGGAGAATCTAAATAAATAGAAAGACACCTGTTTATGTAGTAACACTTATTGTTGTCAAGATGGCAATTCTCCACAAACTGGTTTGCATTCATTACCAAAATTCCAGAATAATTTTGTTGTAGAATAAATTAAATTGATTAGCCAACCTTTTCTTTTTCTGGTCCTGGGGCTTGAACTCAGGGCCTGGGCACTGTCCCTGAGCTTCTCAAGGTTAGTGTTCTACCACTTGAGCCACAGCACCCCTTTTGGCTTGTCCTGAGTATTATTTTTCTGTCTGTGATGGCTTTAATTTGTGATCCTCAGATCTCAGCCTCCTGAGTAGCTAGGACTATAGGCATAAGCTACCGACACCCAGCTTAATCTTAATGTTTATATGGGAATTCAAAGGAATTAGAATGGTCAATGCAATTGAAAAGAAAGGAGGATATACATTATCCAATTTCTTTCTTTTTTTTTTCTGGTAAGTCATGGGGCCTGAACTCTGGGCCTGGGCGCTGTCCCTCAGCTCTTCAGCTCAAGGTTAGCGCTCTATCACTTGAGCCACAGCGCCACTTCCAGCCTTTTCTGCTTATGTGGTGCTAAGGAATTGAATCCAGGACCCACCCATACGTGTCTGTGAGCATGTTTCCAGAGACAACTAGATCATAAAGGATTTGACTTAGTGACTTAATCCATTAATGCATTCAAAACCTAAATAGAGGGGCTGGGAAGGTGGCTCAGTGGTAGAGCGCTTGCCTTGCATGCCTGAGTCCCTGGGTTCGATTTCTTAGCACCACATAAGCAAAAAGAAAAAAGCCGGAAGTGGCGCTGTGGCTCAAGTGGTAGAGCTCTAGCCTTGAGCTGAATTGCTGAGGGACAGCGCCCAAGCCCAGAGTTCAGGCCCCACGACCGGACCCAAAAAAAAAAAAAAAAAAAAAAACCTAAATAGACTATTAGGAAGTAGTGGGAAACCATGGTAGGCAGGGCCAAGTTGTAGAAAGCAGATTGTAATGGGGGAGAGGAAGGGGTGTTTGAAGGACATATTTTACCTTAGCCACTTTGTGTCTTTGTTCTGTTTTCCTGGCAGCAGTGATATGAACTGCACTGCTCTGCCATGCACTCCCTGGTTGTGGGGCTGAACTCTACCACTTGAGCCACACCACCACTTCAGCTTTATTTTGCTTATGTGGTGCTGAGGAATCGAGCCCAGGGTCCCATGCATGCAAGGCAAGCACTCTACCACTGAGCCAGCTTCCTAGGCCCTAATATATACGTTTTTGAGACAGAATCTCAACATGTATCCCAGGCTGACCTCAAACTTGAGATCTTCCTGATTGTAGCTCCTGAGTACCAGGATCACCTTCTAAATTACAGGCATGTTAGTTATAGAGCTACCATTCCTTGTTCCCAGAATTTCTTTTAGTTAATTTTTGTCAAGACAAATCAATTGGAGACTAATAAAAACAGCTTGGTACTGATACAAGACCAATGGAATAGAAGACCCAGAAATGAACCCACAGACATATAGCCACCTAGTATTTGATAAGAAAGCCAAAAACAAAGAATGGAAAATGGCCTCTTCAACAAATGGTGCTGGCTGAATTGGCTACAGACATGCAGAAAACTGAAGTAAGATCCTTATATATCACCCTACACCAGAATCAGTTCCAAATGCATCAAAGACCTCAATGAAAAGAACAGATACCCTGACAATATTACAGGAAGGGATAGGGAAACACTAGAGCTCCTTGGCGCATATCAAAATTTCCAAAGATCCCAGAATCACATCACATCAAAGAAAGACTAGATAAATGGAACTGCATCGAACAGAAGAGTTTCTGCATGGCAAAGAACATAGCCCACAGAATGGGAGATCGTTACTAGCTTTGCATCAGATCAGACAAGGGCCTCATAGCTAAAATATACTCAAAGCTCAAAAAAATTAAACTTGCTGGGCACCAGTAGCTCATGCCTGTAATCCTAGCTACTCAGGAGGCTAAGATCTGAGGATCGCAGTTCAAATCCAGCCCAGACAGGAGAGTCCATGAGACACTTATCTCCAATTAACCACCAGAAAACCATAAGTGGCACTGTGGCTCAAGTGGTAGAGAGTTTGTCTTGAGCTGAAGAAGAGCTCAGGGACAGTGCCCAGGTCCAGAGTTCAAGTCCCATGACCACCAAAAAAATAAAATAAATAAAAATTAAAACTTCCTCAAAACAAATCATCACAAGAAACAACAAGCCAATTAATAAATGGGCGAGAGACGTAAAAAGAGTGGCTTCTTCAGCTGGGCGCCAATGGCTCACACCTGTAATCCTAGCTACTCAAGAGGCTGAGATCTGAGGATCATGGTTCAAAGCCAGCCTGGGCAGGAAAGTCTGTAAGACTCTTATCTCCAATAAATCACTCGAAAACCTGAAGTGGCACTGTAACTCAATTGGTAGAGCACTAGCCTTGAGCTGAAGAACTGAGGGACAGCACCCAGGCCCATAGTTCAAACCTCATAACCAAGAAAAACAAAACAAAACAAGAATGGCCAATAGACACATGTTCAACATCCCTGGCCATAAAAAAAATGCAAATCAAAACAACATGGAGATTCCACCTCACCCCAGTAAAAGCCAATAGACAACCATGTTCATTGCAGCATTATTTACCATAGCCAAGATATGGAAGTAACCCAGATGACCTTCAGTGGATGAA